CGGGTCGTGGGGGCAGCAGTCTCAGTAGGGGAACCCAGACTTCCCTCTCCCCGGCCACTTCTTCCAGCTCCTCCAGGGGAATCCCGAGGCGTTCCCAGGCCAGCCGAGAGACATAGTCCCTCCAGCGTGTCCTGGGTCTTCCTCAGGGCCTCCTCCCAGTGGGACATGCCCGGAACACCTCACCAGGGAGGCGTCCAGGAGGCATCCTAAGCAGATGCCCGAGCTACCTCATCTGGCTCTTCTCAATACGGAGGAGCAGCGGCTCTACTCTGTGTCTCTCCTGAATGACCGAGCTCCTCACCCTATCTCTAAGGGAGACCCCAGCCACCCTGCGAAGAAAACTCATTTCGGCCGCTTGTACTCACGATCTAGTTCTTTTGGTTACTACCCATAGCTCATGACCATAGGTGGGGGTAGGAACATAGATCGACTGATAAATCGAGAGCTTTGCCTTTTGGCTCAGCTCTTTATTCACCATGACAGACCGATGCAGTGCCCGCATTACTGTTGACCCCGCACCGATCCGCCTGTCGATCTCTCGCTCCATCCTTCCCTCACTCGTGAACAAGACCCCGAGATACTTAAACTCCTCCACTTGGGGAAGGACCCCCTCCCCAACACGGAGAGAGCATTCCACCCTTTTTCCGGCTGAGGACCATGGTCTCGGATTTAAAGGTGCTGATTCTCATCCCAGCCGCTTCACACTCGGCTGTGAACTGTCCCAGTGAGAGCCGAAGGTCACGGTCCGATGAAGCCAACAGAACCACATCATCTGCAAAAAGCAGAGACCTAATCCTGAGGTCATCAAACCAGACACCCTCAACACCCTGGCTGCGCCTAGAAATTCTGTCCATAAAGGTTATGAACAGAATCGGTGACAAAGGGCAGCCCAGGTGGAGTCCAACCCTCACTGGAAATGAGTCCGACTTACTGCTGACCATGCAGACCAAGCTCTGACGCCAGTCATACAGGGACCGTACAGCCCTTATAAGGAAGCCCGGCACCCCATACTCCCGGAGCACTCCCCACAGGACTCCCCGAGGGACACGGTCGAATGCCTTCTCCAAGTCCACAAAACACATATAGACTGGTTGGGCAAACTCCCATGAACCCTCCAAGACCCTGCTGAGACTATAGAGCTGGTCCACTGTTCCATGGCCAGGGCGAAAACCACACTGCTCCTCCTGAATCCGAGGTTCAACAATCCAACGGACCCTCCTCTCCAGAACCCCCGAATAGACCTTACCTGGGAGGCTGAGGAGCGTGATCCCCCTATAATTGGAGCACACCTTCCGGTCCTATTTCTTAAAGAGGGGGACCACCACCCCAATTTGTCAGTCCAGAGGCACTGCCCCTGATGTCCACGCGATGCTACAGATGCGTGTCAACCAGGACAGCCCCACAGCATCCAGAGTCTTAAGGAACTCCGGGCGGATCTCATCCACCCCCGGGGCCTGGCCACCGAGGAGCTTTTTAACCACCTCAGCGACTTCCGCCCCGAGAGATAGGGGAGTCCACCTCCAAGTCCCCAGACTGCTTCCTCATTGGAAGGCGTGTCGGTGGGATTGAGGAGGTCTTCGAAGTACTCCCTCCACCGACCCAAAATGTCCCGAGTTGAGGTCAGCAGTGCCCCATCCCCACCATAAACAGTGTTGATGCTGCATAGCTTTCCCACCCTGAGACGCTGGATGGTGGACCAGAATCTCCTCGAAGCCGTCCGGAAGTCGTTTTCCATGGCCTCGCCAAACTCCTCCCACACCCGAGTTTTTGCCTCAGCAACCGCCGAAGCGGTATTCCGCTTGGCCCGCCGGTACCCATCAGCTGCCTCTGGAGTCCCACAGGCCAAAAAGGCCCGATAGGACTCCTTCTTCAGCCTGACGGCATCCCTCACCACCGGTATCCACCAGCGGGTTCGGGGATTGCCACCGCGGCAGACACCGACCACCTTACGGCCACAACTCTGGTCAGCCGCCACCACAATGGAGGCACGGAACATGGCCCATTCGGACTCGATGTCCCCCGCCTCCCCTGGGACATGGGAGAAGTTCTGCCGGAGGTAAGAGTTGAAGCTCCTCCTGATAGGGGATTCTGCCAGATATTTCCAGTAGACCCTCACTATACGCTTGGGCCTGCCAGGCCTGGCCGGCTTCCTCCCCCACCAGCGGAGCCAACCCACCACCAGATAGTGATCAGTTGACAGCTCCGCCCCTCTCTACACCCGAGTGTCCAAGACATGCGGCCGCAAGTCCAATGACACGACTACAAAGTAGATCATTGAACTGCGGCCTAGGGTGTCCTGGTGCCAAGTGCACATATCGACACCCTTGTGCTTGAACATGGTGTTCATTATGGACAATCCGTGATGTGCACAGAAGTCCAATAACAAAACACAGCTCGGGTTCAGTTCGGGGGGGCCGTTCCTCCCAATCACACCACTCCAGGTCTCACTGTCATTGCCCACATGAGCATTGAAGTCCCCCAGCAGAACGAGAGAGTCCCTGGGAGGAGCGCTCTGCAACAACCCTTCCAAGGACTCCAAAAAGGGTGGGTATTCTGAACTGCCGCTTGGCGCATAAGCGCAAACAACAGTCAGGACCCGTCCCCCCACCCGATGGCGAAGGGAGGCTACCCTCTCGTCCACTGCGGTAAACCCCAATGTACAGGCACACAGCCAGGGGACAATAAGTATACCCACCCCTGCTCGTTGCCTCTCTCCGCGAGAAAGTCCAGAGTGGAGGAGGGTCCAACCCCCCTCAAGGACACTGGTTCCAGAGCCCAAGCCGTGCGTTGAGGTGAGTCCGACTATATCTAGTTGGAACTTCACAACCTTGCGCACCAGCTCAGGCTCCTTCCCCGTCAGAGAGGTGACATTCCATGTCCCTAGAGCTAGCGTCTGCAGCCGAGGATCGGACTGCCAAGGTCCCCGCCTTTGGCCATTGCCTAACTCGCACTGCACCCAACCCCTATGACCCAATGTGGGTAATGTGCCTTAAACCAGCGGTAACCAAGGATTCTCTGAAGACACAGTACCGAAGGAGTCCAGTCTTCATCTCAGCTCACTGGATAGTGTCCATGTCTCACAGCCATACAGCAAGACAGGGAGCACCAGGACCCTAAAGACTTGGACCTTCGTCCTCTTGCAAAGATATCGAGAGCACCACACACCCCTTTCCAGCGACCTCATGACCCCCCCATGCTCTTCCAATCCGTCTGCTGACTTCATAGGAAGAGTCACCAGAGATGTAAGATTGGGGGGCACTTAATGCTTTGATGCCATGAACAGTTATTTAACTGAGTTCAGTTCTTTGATAGTGCTTGGGTAGAAGCTTTTCAATAGTCTGGAAGTGATAGACCTATAACTCCTTCCAGAGGGCGACAGAGTGCAGAGGTGGTGGCCTGGGTGAGATGGGTCCCTGATGATTCTCATGACCTGTTAAAGACATCGGGTTCTGTATGGGGGGGTCCTCTAGTGACGGTAGCTGGGTATTGGTAATTTTTTTGCTGATCTGATGGCTCCTTGGATGGTCTTCTTGTCAGCCACAGAGCAGCCAGCATACCATACCAGGATGCCACAGGTGAGTATGCTTTCCCCAGAGCAGTAACAGACAGACACCATCAGCTGCTTGGACAGGTCAGCCTTCCTCAGTATCCTTAAGAGCTAGAGCCGCTTCTGTACCTTCTTCATATTAATGCAGGGTAACCAACATAAGTTTTGTTTTCTTTCCCAATCATCATATTCTAAATCATTCTAAGATGAGAGCACTGTGGTTTGCTTCCCTGAGTCGTTTGTTTTTCTCCTGCACTCAAAAACATGCGTTAGTTTAATTGCCATTTCTAAAATTTCCTGTACCATGTGACCTGCAGTGCACCAGCATCCCATCCTGGGTGTATTCCTGCCTCAGTTTCTCTGTCACAATGTCCAAGTATAGCGATTTGAAGATAATATTCCATGTTTTTCCTTATCCAAGGTTACATTAAGATTATTTTTCCTCAAGATTCAAATATCAAATTCTTTTGTGACAAACACCCCTTTATTCTACTAATGCAAGGGTGTATATTTGAGTGCAAACTATAGGGACATGTCCCTACCAATATTGCATGGGTACTGTGTGTATTCAGTGGGGGGTATGAGTTTGAGGCTAATTTTGTCCCTACCAATGTTGAAACCAAACCTATGCCCTTCTGCTAATGGCTAGTATGCCTTGGATGTCATCTTCAGAGGAGGCAAAGCCCCCTCCCCCAAATAAACAGTTTGAAAAACATAGCAGTCTAAAAGCAGAATTAAATGTAGTAGTAACACTCCCATTACAAAAGTAATGCACGTTAATAGCATCTAAGAATGTTGTTTTAAATATTCAAAATTAGAAAGATCAAGCCTTGAGCAAGTAAAACTTTAAATAGCTGTTTACTGCAGATCTACAAAGCCAAGAGTTCACTGAATGTTAGGACTCTTGGTTGTTAGAGGATGAGACGGTATAACGATTCACAAGCGATTATCAAAAATTAACGGATGTTTATATTATGAATAACCTACATTAAAAAAAACTCGTTTTTAAATCATTTGCAATTTTGCTTCAACAGAATTATTGCATACACTTGTAAAAATTCAAGTAATTTAAGAAGTTTCTGGAAAATAAGAGCTCTCCAAGAGTGAGAATGCCAGAACCAGACATGTGCAGCCCTGACCACCTTCCATCAGCTGATACATTGCACACTGTGAATATATTTGCATTTATAGCACCACAGATCTCCTGTAATAGCCCTCAAGGTTTAGAAGCATATAATCTACTAGACAGAAAACCAACAGGAAAAATATTATACTTTGTAACTCATTTTATGTAACCATCACCATAACTCGTTTACCTTAATGAAACATTTCAGCATCTTGGTCAGAAGTAATTTGAGGAAGTGTTATGATTAAACTGTATGTACACTTATCTCTATGCAATGTGTGCTACAACAAAAATAGTGTTATGATTTTCAAAAAAAAAAAAATTGTGTCACAGCAAGTTGCAACCAATTCTTTATTGGTCTTTATACCAATCATGACACAGATACAGCTACAAAGAAAAAAAAAACTGTACATATGTACTTGTTACCCAAAACCCATATGCAAATATTGCTACTGCTGTTATGGTCACTTTACAGAACAAGTAAAAGTACAGTAATTTCCTTTTCAATATCCTTGTACAAGGATCAATTTTCACCAGTATGCTGAACACTAAACGCATGTCTTGTAATTAGCCTTGCTAATATTCCGTGTTACAATCCACTCGATGTACCGTTACATACTGCATGTGGGCATTCCTGAAAAATCCCACATCCACAGCAGCTACATGACATTATTGCAATGCTAATCACCAAAACTGACAAAAAAAACCACATACAACGCACGAGCCTGAATGGTAGAATTCCAGAACTAATGAAATGGTAATTGTCAAGTAAGACAACGGCATGGGTAAAAGTCAACATTTACAGATCACAGATTACAAACAGTCTAAAATTGATCATTATAAACAATAAAACAATGTATCACCCTTAAAAATAATTCACAACCCCCAACTCTTTTCCAATACGATACAAATTACATGTACGTCTTTCTGCTCATACAGCCTATGGAATGTTAGTCTTCCAAACAAGCCCTCCTAGTTGTACAATAATTCCTGAAAAATGACATGATTGCACAGTCTCACCGTGGCAACCTGTCCAACTCAAACCCCTTATAAAGAACAAAATCATGAAAATAAAAACCTGTTGACCATACAACAACCACATTTTTTGTCCATAAATGTAAAAACGTGGGATGTGGTTGTATCCCTCTCCAAATGCATTTTCCTTTGTTTTTAAAAAAATGTGTTTCTACAATCAAACTATTAAAAAAAACCTGCATTTAGAAAATAGTTGATAAAAATATTCCTCTGAATTGTACAAGAAAAGAGGTACAGGGCGCACAGGTAAAAGACATGATAAGGATGTTATGTTATTCAGACTCTTTGCCTTTCTGTCCAGGTTCTTCTGAAGCTGGTGTCTCCTGGGGATTGGGGGGGGGGTTGTGTGGAAGAGTATTAGTGATGGTGCAGGAAGCAGTTAAATACACTTATTTCAACTAACACATGTGGGATTTTAGAACACCAGGAAAAAGTCCAAGTTAAATGGGAAAATCACTCAGAACATAATAGGGGACAGGGGTGAGTAACAGGAAGTCTTAAGGAAGTGTAATATATCTGCTACAGGACTTCTACACAAGAGGATACCCACTGACCTCATCGGGTTTGGCTTCCCCGTTTTCTGCTGGAGTCTCCTCATTTGCCTCTGGCTTGGCCTTTTCTACTTCCTTCGTCTTCTTAGGTTTTGCAGGTGCCTTCTAAAGGAAAGAAAAAAAGAAAAAGATTGACTAAAATCATTTTTTTTCATGTAAACTACAGGCCTTTTGACAAAACTTTGAGGAAGATTACTAAAATAATGCATAAGAATGACTACATAACACTTGCCTTTGGCTTGGGTTCTGACTTTGGTTGGGGTTTCTGAAAAATATATACAATTTTTAATTAAAAGCTCCATGCAACCAATAAAAAGAGTAATATAAAAAAATACAACGATAAACTTACATCACGCAATCTCTCAGATCTCCTTTTGGGCTGCACAAGAATAACAAAAAGATTTTTTTTTTTTTTTACAAACAACCACACATGATTCTTTTTCGTTAAATACTAAAAACGAACTTAGAATTGTAATGATATCCAATACTGACCTCATTCGCTTCAGTGTCATTGCTTGCCTGTAAAAAATAAAAAACAGATCATATGTGAGATACGCAGATCTTTTTAATTGGAGGATTTAGTGATAACATAGTGAAACCAGGTTCCATGCATCAGGGAATACAGGGGAAGTCCGCCCCGCCTCTTCCGCGCCTTCATTCTGTATCATGCAGGCTCCCCTGTAAGTGCGCTATTCTTTCCCGCCACGGATTCAAATGACAGACTCCGAGATCCTCGGCGATCTCCAAAAGGTTACGGAATACACCGGAATTGTCCGTAGCCGAGCCCGCTATGACGACGGGGAAAAGGGAGGGGGAGGGAAAGAAAAATCGCCATCGCACAACGCCAACATTCTATCTGAGCAAATGAACCGGGGCAGGAATGCAAACCGAATACGCCCACCAACACGACAAATTTAAAACGGCGTGATCGCCGGGATTGTTGACTTGGCCCGAATCACCCACTTTAACAAATGCACGAGATGTAAGCATTTAAGGTGAAAGGAGAGCTTGCACCACCGTTAGCTTTTCCCTGTGTGACCGGCGATCTTCACGGATACACGGGCAGCCATGACACCCTTTCACACTCAGTGCCCTTTCCGAACCATAAGGAGTCGCGTACTCCCTTTACGCTTAGTTGCACTGTGCAACCTTTTGGGGCATTTTACCTGTATGCATATACGCCAATTTGGTTAAACAGACCCAAAATAAACTCTAAAACCAATGCACAAAAACTAATCTCAACATATTCGCTAAATCGTAGTATTTGGATGAAAGGCGCGGGTTACACCCCTTTGTTTGAACCAATTACAGAAATGCAACATTTCGTATAAACGACTGCATGTAAAATGGACAAGGCGCCCGCACTCGTTAGACAGTCAACTGCCCCGAAACAAACGCAACTAAACTGCTCAGAATTATAACAGCACTAAGTAAAAAGGCGCCACTTTCCGAAAGCGACTCGCATCATCGCGCTTTAAAGTACAGCGACAACGGCATCCATTTAAACCAACATCCAACATGCAGAGATTGCACACTTCATACATTTGTTCCATGCAGAAGAGGATTCACGATAGTAAACTGCATCGGGGGAGAAAACAATCAAATACAACGGTTTACATAAATCGACTTACTTTGTTTCTTTTGGGCATGGTTAATTTTCTTGGATATTAAAACTAGACGGATAAATCAATATCCAACGAAGAGGTTTTAAAAATCTACAGTAATGCTGTCCGATTACAAAAATTCGAACAGTACCTAGTAAAGTGTAGCGAACGTAAATGTTCTATCGGACCAGAAACTAGCTGAAACCGGATTGGATTCTCCCCCCGCTCCCCTCTATTCATTATAGCACCAACCTGATGGGCAACCTACTCTCCGCCCATCATGCGGCTGATTGGCCTCTAGGAATCGTCAACATATTTTTAAATCATAGCAAGGTACCTGTCTGGGTAGGTCTGCATGCCAATCAGTTGTATTTTTCCCAGTTTTTTTAATGAAGGGGGGGCGGACAGTTGTCAAACATGAAAGTTGTTCTCCCCTGTTAATAGCTACAGTACTGCTTATTTTTAATTTCAATGGACGCCCTGTTTGAATGCGTTAAATTCGAGGTCATACATAGCTTTTTCGTGCATTGTCCTTATTTTTTTCCCAAAATTATAAGTGCCGGTTTCTGTATGTCGCATGTTGGGCAAATGACAAATGCAGAGCAGTTTCATCGCTTGCTGCATTTTTAGGGGGTGTGCCCTGTCACTATAACAAGGTTGAAAATAAAGGAAAATGGCGGTCATTCATGCCTGGTTTCTAGTTCTGCGATCTGTGCTTTTGTGAAACCTTGACCAAAATCCACACCTTTTCCTCCTTTATTTTGTAATATGTGGAGTTGTTTTGAAAAGGAATTTTACACCTAGATCATGCGTCTATCTTTCATCATCATCATCTAATAATACTGAAGCTCCTCCGCAGTGCCAAGTTTTATGATGTCGAACTGTCCGGCAGCTCGGACGCCTTTTCCGCCCCTTATGTCTTACGTGTATTAGGAGAATGATAATGAATATATACCCAGATATGCATAATGATTTGCGCACGAACATACGGCATCTCTTTCTGTTACAATACACACCCCCATCTTTGTTATCATCGCATTCTTGAAGAGGAGAATCTTTTAACCAACGTCACAAATACGTCACAGGAATGCGAACGTGACTATAGGTACTTTCAAGTACTGTTTACTTTTTTTTTCCTCTTTTTACTGATTCATTTTGAATCCGTATTTACTTACATGTAAAATTGTGAAAGCAAATTAAATAGGAATTGACGGCCGTGAACACAATATTAACGTATTTTTCAAACGTCTGAAAGGGACCTAATGTACTGTAGGACGCTCGTTAATAGGATTTGGCATTTGTAAACCAATTATCTTTCAACCACGTAGCAATTTACTAATCTGTGGCTTAAAGGAAGGGGGTAATAATTCAGTAATAATAGTAATTATTATTATTAGTATTAATAGTCCTGTTGGCATCACCGAGCTGTGACCTGCATGCATGCACTGGGGCGATTTGCAGCCAGGATGAGGATCAGCACCTCCAAGTCTGAGGCCATGGTTCTAGGCCACAAAAGGGTGGATTGCCCCTCCTGGTGGGGGATGAGTTGCTGCCTCAAGTGGAGTAGTTTAAATATCAGGGTCCTGTTCACGAGCGAGGGAAGAAGGGAACGGCAGAGCGACAGACGAATCGGTGCAGTGTTTGCAGTAATGCGGACGCTGTACCATTCTGTTGTGTTGAAGAGGGAGCTGAGCTGGAAGGCAAAGCTTTTGATTTACCAGTCGATTTACGTTGCTACCTTCACCTTTGGTCATGAGCTTTGGGTAGTGACTGAAAGGAGCTGGAAGAGGTGGCTGGTGAGAGGGAGGTCTGGGCATTCCTGCTTAAACTGCTGCCCCCGTGACCCGACCCCAGATAAGCGGCAGATGATGGATGGAGTTTTTAAAACACCTGATGTTCCCGGCAGAAGACCACAGATGCATGTAAGCTCCAACTGTTAGGAGGTGGCAGGTGGGATTCACATAACAGGTTGAGTGCACAGAGGGAGGGGTCAAATGCCACAGCTGCTGTCTGTTGCCTTCTCTGATCTTCAGCCACAGGGAAACCGTTACAGGAAGTCACTTACCCCACTACAAATGAAACTGATTTTTATTTGTGACCAATCCATGTATTAGGAAACGTTTTTAAGTTTCTTTATGGAATTTTTCCCCATATTTTTTTACTGCATAATAATGAAGGAAGATATACTTACTCTATAAAATGCATATGTCGTAGTAATACAAAGGAAAATCATCTGTGGAGAGTTCAGCTACAGTTGTGCAGTATAAGTCGTTTTATCGTAACAATGCATGTTTTTTATTAATTGAAGGGGGATATATGACCTTGATATGAATTTATTCTTGTGGCTTGAGAAAAGCTCCATTCTCCTCTAACCGCTAATACCACACGTGAATTTAACCCCACCCTCGCAGCTGTCACTCACTGTTATCTGCTGTCGTTGCAGTTGTCGCTTGTCACTCAAGTGTGAGTGTCCTGCCCTCCGCCGGGACATCATGCAGAGATCAGCAGACTGAATGTCTAAACATGTAGTTGTCTTAGATAAGTTAATACCCACAGAATAGGTACAGCACTGTTTGGCCGCTAAGTAGAGCCAATTTGACATTCATGGTTATGTTTATCTTTGTGTCCTGAAGAATAGTCCTATACTCAGTATTTTGATTTGTTGAATAACAGCCTTAACCTATGCAACTGTATATCAAATTAATGGTTTACAAAACACAAGAGAATAATATTTAAAAAGTGATATTTATTTGAATAGTTCATTCCACTAATAAACTAATTATCTATAAACTATGTGTCAGTCCTGTGATTGTTTTTTGTGACCGTTTTAATGACATTTTATAGATGATTAAAGCATTTCTTGTAGATCAAACTGGTGTATGAATATTATAAATTCTGAATATTGTATTCTTGTTATGTGTATTTTGGGGTTTGAATTTCAAAGTGTCCTGAGATTTCTTGCGACTCTCATCCATGTGTCAAGCAACATCAATAAGAAACAACGTGAAAACCACAGAGGAGACTTCACAGTATCTTCAGCCACACATCCAAGAAATGGAATTTTCAAGGAGAAAATTAAAAAACATAGAGCTCTGTCAAGGGCTAACAAAGACCTATGCTCAATCATTATGAAACACCTTCTGTTTCAGCACCTTTCATTTTATTGAAATGTTATTCATTACATTAGGGAGTCAAATAAATTGTGAGAGATTTTGATTGGTTGAAGCGAGACAAAAAGCACACGTCTGGCAGCTTGTAAACAATGTGTTTCCAAGTGGAACTTCCTTGATGTGTGTTGTTAAGATACTGGAAATGTGTGAACGATACTTAGAATTTAATACCATCCTGCGGGCCTAACAAAAAATGTATTAAGGAAATTAAAAAGGAAAACTAGTTGTTTCTGCTGAGAATGTAGGTAGATTTGGTGTCATGTGTTCCTAGTATTCTTTCATCGGGACTCTTTTGTGTGGGAAAATGTGTTTAAGGGCCCTCAGCCTGACCTTTACCTCTGGATTTGGATCATTGATACCTATCTTGCCAAAGAGTCCCCGCATCAAATTGCTTTTGAATGTTGTTCCCATTTGTCGGGTGGACGTGTGACAAAGGCCAGCTCATACGTTCCCCGTCCCCAAAGGCCCTCTTCTGACAGTTGTCCCGGGTCCTTCCCAGCCCTAGGATTCTGCAGGCTGACTTCCCACGGTGCAGGTTCTGGATGATCTCTTCACTTTCATTAACATACCTCAGCTTTAATTCGGTGGGTCCAGGGGGGGGCACAAGTCACACTGGGGGAGTCCTCCCAGGCGTCCTGTACATCGCCGGCCCCCTGTTCTATCCTCTGCCTCCATCATATGTCATTGTAGCAGGTATCCCTTTCCCAGTCAGTAGACGACTTAGTTCAGACTAGAACTGCCTGAAAACCACCTCTCAGTTTGCATGCGTGCGACGGCTCAAAATACAGCACTGGCATTATTTGCCTCCAGGCTAATATTTTCATTCATTCCTTTATCCTCTAAAAACTTATGAAGTGCTGTGTTTTCTACAGTTTCCAAATCTGTCCTGGAATTAAAGACATACATTAGGAATATATATATACATATATATATATATACACACACACACACACACACACACTTAAATAAATTAATGTATGAACGATTGAATGAATATATGTAAATACACCTGCTATCTAAGATTAAGATGAACTTCATTGATCCCGGGGGGTTCTGCTGCATACTGTAGCGGCAATATGGGGCGGAGACGAACACTATTGCAAAACAGACAAAGTGCATAGAGCAAACATGTAAACGAGGGGCAAGCAAATTTTAAGAAGTACAAGGTACACAAATAGAATATCCTGAAAAACATCTATTCATATGAAATGCATCTACGGCAGGTCATACAGTGCTGATCGAGCACACAGTTGGTAGCGTAAATATACACTCTAATGACATAAACATCAGTGATACCAACGTAAATCTTAAAGCTAATTTTTTTGCACTCAAGGAAACAAACCATTGGTTGATGTGTTGCAGAGTACTGGACTGTACTGTAAGTGGGTGAATTCAAACATTTTTCGCAGCTAGTTATCAAATTCAGGGTTGCAGTGAGTGCCGTTGAAACCTCTGGGAGAGGGTACAATCTCCGCAAACGGGATAGATTTCACGATGCAGTGTGAAGCCTTTGTACCGCCCTATTACATCTGTTCTGTTTGCACACAGAAAGTAAAAAACATATAAATACAAATTATTTAACACAGTTATGCCAGTTTCGTGATATTTCCTTAATAAATATAGTAGGAAAATACAAAAAGTCAATTAGTACATCACATATTTGCTCAAAAGATGTCTTTATTTTGCTCAAACGATATCCAACTCTTGCACTTTACCCTGCAATACGTTAATAAATATGTTATACTTTTATGTGGTCAAAATAATGAAAAAAAAAGATAATTCAGACGTTTTGGTTTTAATGTGAAAAAGCATCAATATGGTCTGACTAATAACTAATAACTAACTCCCTCTTGTGGTCATTTTGAGAATACTTTTTGTAGTATATAATTTCTTTTGTATGACTTCTCTTTCCCTGGGCTGCACACACGTGCAGGGGGGAGGGGAGACTGGGGTGTCTGAGCACCTCCCCCCTTTGCCCGAACAATTGAAATTGCCTCCCTTTTCGAGGGTCAACACAACATTTACTGACACCCCCCCCCCCAAGTTCAAACACCTGCCCGTCGAAAAGCCTGTGGCACTGCAGGGCTGGAGTGACCATCCCCCCATATCGGCCTACAATTTATCACAGGGAGGGGATGGAGGTCCCCAATGTCTAGGGGTCTAGGGCTGATTTTTAATTCAAGTTAGTAGTTCTCAACTGGTTTAGCCTCAGGACTCACATTATTCCTCAGCCATTAAGTCACGACCCCATGTTTTTGTTTGTATTTATTTATTAAATCACAACTGGTGGTGGGGGTGGAGGCAGTAAAGAAAACAAGATTTCCGGCACAACATATATATATATTATATATATATATATATATATATATAAACCCGAAATAATTCTTAAGCACACATTCCATGATAAAATGAAAATGGTTCTGTGGCCCATTAAGGAATATTCAAATTATGAGACTTTGCTTATGCATAGATGGTTTTACTGGGGTGCAGGGGGTTCCCTACTGTTCAGATGAAAATTGTATTTTAACATACTGAGTTGAATAAAATTAAATTATATTATATCCATCCATCCATCCATCCATTTTCTGAAGCCCTATTCAGGGTCGCAGGGGGGGCGGAACAGATAAAGTTACAAGGCAGATAAAATTATATTATAAAGTTAACTTTTAAAATGTGGCTTATGTTATATCAATGTATACTAATCATTTATTGAAAATGTGTTTACTATTTTTGACAAGTTTATTTATCTGGATGAATGACTGGTTGGGCTCTTATTAGCCTACCTTGCATCCCGTGGGTGAAAAGCCTAGAGTTGCCAATGTGCATTACTTTGGCTTCATAGGTCCTCTGAAATTAAGCGGTAAGATAGCAAATAGAATGACGTGTTGGCAAGCTATACTTTCCACCTCGGGTTGCCACTTGCCAAATCAGGAAAAACCAGAGGCGGACATTTCAGGTCCAGAAAGTAAAAATCCAGACCAAGACTTTGTTTGAACCAACCAGTTAGGTACTCTGTGACTGTGAATCTTTACGCTCAACTGGTGGGTTGAAACAAAATCCTGGTTTGGATTTTTAATTTCTGGACCTGAAATGTCCACCTCTGGAAAAGACAAGTAGTAAATAACACTGCATATTTATTGAAGAGGGCTTATATCCATTTGAATATTTGCAGTCATATGATTAAGATTAATATTTATACTTTCGTAATTAAGACAGTACCTACAATACAAAAATGATTGCATTTTATAAGTGTAAAGTCTGGATACCCTTTCTTACCGTGGTAACTATGACACTTTTACTTAAGGTACAACGCCAGTCTCAAACTTTTGAGGATAGCTACAGGTCACTGTTGTCCTCTAAGACGCTTAATTAGCCTTTGTCTGTACAGACCAGCATTACCTGCTTCCTTCCTAAGCAGAAGCGGTCCGGCCTGAGCAGCTGAAGCCTGCAGAGGGAGCCCTTGGCGCGCGCGGTGGGGCCAGGCGATACACTGCAACGGTCACATGGCGAGTCTGCACACACTTCAGCAGCCGGTTCAGCGACTCGTTTGCCCAGCTCCCTGATTTGGCGCAGGCTGGCAGAAACAATGCGTCGGAAGATTGAGGTGCTGCACAGTGACCTTACTATTCCCTTAATTGGTACAGGCGGACCATGCCAATAAAGCATACCTAAAATAATCTAAATATAAGACGGAAAATGTAAATCAGTATTCACTCACAGACGTAACCTCCATTAGGGCAGGCCCGATGATGAAGGGCTGCTGTATTCTGAGCTATATGATGACGTAAATATATTGTCTAAGAGATCGGTCTGAAACAACGGCATTGTTTGCGCTTTGGATGCGAGACTAAAGTTTTCTTTCCAGATACAAGTATAATAACTGAGGAACGATCGGGAACAAGCAACATTAGGATGTCATGTAATGTCATAAAGTGCAGAAACTAAATTGAATTCATTGGTAAGGATAAATATCATAAGCAAACTATCAAGATTGTAGATAGACTGCGAAGTCCCGAAAAAATTATATTCTTTGTCTTTTACGCATAAGAAATGATATTATGCGCACAAATATGTATTAATATTCCGTCGAATTTTTAAAATCAGTGCATGATAGACGTTTGTAAGACGATAGAACTTTTTTCACTTTATTGAAAGACTGATTAGGTAGTCTTGTCACATTTTGATTCTGATTGCTTTGCTCCTATCCTGTTCATTTCTGCTACCATCTGCTTATCAGCTAGTAATAATTACATGACATGTTTCCTATGATAGTCTGGACCAATACATTCATTTTCCATGCGACGCAAAGCAACTTCACTCACTACAGTATTTCCCGACAGACAGCATACATTGCAAATCACCGGGCTGGTTCTGAACCTCCCCTCCCAAAACACAAACCCACCAATCCCACTAGAAGGTTCGTCTTCTAGGATTTAAATGACCAGTCCGGGGTGACTGGTGACCGCAGCGGCGTCCTGCGTGAGTCCCCTTCTTTGGGAGACTGTCTGTGTTTAAACACTTCACCGTCCCGATCTATAAGCTTGCAGATCTGCAAAAATGGTCATTAAGGTGTATTTAGCTACTTCATCAGGATCCACTGCGGTAAGCAATATACATTTTAGATTTATTAGATGAAAATAAGCATTTCGTTTACCAGCAGGTATTTGCAGTTCAGCAGTTTATTATACTTTAATGTAACTTGTCTCTTTCACGTTTAAGGATGTAGAACTTTTATTAAAACAGCAGGACCTACTGTCTGCCTGCATTTTTTGGTATAAAACTAAACTGATATTGCGCTTTTGACGTTTAAACATGCTCAATATTTTTGCGAACAATCAACCTACTAATACAATGAATGTAGCGGGGAGTCAATTTTCAGTGCAATTGTGAAAAGTAATGCTATTTAAAGAGGAATTATAACTTCAAACGGCTTCTTTAAACTGTATCCAATATTAGCTACAGTAACATGGGCGACCGGTCTGAGCTGGCATAGTTATACTGTGTTTGAGTTTCCTTATATATCTCTCCGCTGTCGTTCAGCTCACATTCCAAACCTGCAACAGCAATCTGCCTAGGAGGCGCACGTATTTTCCCATCAGAAACTTCTAGAAGCGTTTTGAATGAACCAGTGTTTGAACATAACAGCCCGAGGATGTTTACTTGCACCTCAGTGAAAAAGCCTCCCCCGTTGCCTTTGCCTGGATTCGTTTTGTGGCTGATTTTCGTTCCAGTTTCCACCATGTCGTTACGTACTCGAATTCATTAAAGAATTAGGTTCGCATTTAAACAGCGTGATAATGGAGAGGCCACGCTGGAAATGCTCTCATTTAACTTGTGTATCATTCTTTGTGTTCCGTCAAGTGCTAAAAATATAGCATTATTTAGAGTAGTACTATGGCTTTTGGCTCTGGGGCGGTTGAATTCTGCCTCCAGGTTTGCATGTTCCCCCCATGATTAAACAGGTTTCCTTCTGCAGTCCAGAAACATGCATACCTGATTTGGTCTCTCTAAATTGCCCATAATGTTTTCAGGGTGTGCCCTCCACTGAACTGGCAGCCCATCCTGGGTGCCCCCTACCTTGTGTGTCCTGAGATGGGCTCCTACTTTGACCCAGTACTAGCTAATTGGTTTTGGAAGACAATATACTCTCATTTAGGCCATCTTGCTTCCTCATGCGCAAACTCACAGTACATGGACAGTCGATTCAAAGACAAGCTCTTGCATTGGCTCTGTTGTGGTTTTCTCTTAGATCAAAAAGAAGCAACAGGATGTAGTGGGATTTCTGGAGGCTCTGAAGATCGAATACATGCAATTGGATATTGCATCCAACGAGGAGAACCGCCAATGGATGAGGGAGAACGTCCCAGGGGAGAAGAAGCCCACAAATGGGATTCCGCTGCCCCCGCAAATCTTTAATGGGGAGGACTACTGTGGGGTGAGAGGCGCTCGCCTGGTGATACCTCATGTTCACGCAGAAAGGCTGGCTGGAAAGCAAGAAGAGCAATGCAATGGTAGACTGACTCCAGGTTGAGGTTTTGCAGGTATCAGAGGTACCTCTCTAATAGTAGGTGGTTTGGAGCCTACCAAACTAAAGTGATTTCTTGTACAAAAAGGATTTAGACAACGAAGAGGTCTCAACTGAAAAAGAATGACTGAATTACCAAAGTATATCAAGAAGTATTAAGTATAATAAGGCAGCAAGTGATGGCAACACAAACTTTGTTTGTTGTTCTTTTGCAGGACTATGATACATTTTTTGATGCCAAGGAGGAAAATCAAGTCTTTGAATTTCTGGGTCTTCCTGCTCCCCCAGGATCAAAGGTTAGACCATTTTTCTTAACCCACCTAAGACGGTTAAAATAGCTAACACAACTCATATCTGAATAGGAGTATAAATGATGCTTAAAATTGTAATGTGTTTCCTAAATCCAACAGCCAACAACACGTAAGGTATGTTAAGTACTCTAACAACATGGATATAACATCCTTCCATCCATCCATCCATTTTCTCCCGCTTATCCGAGGTCGGGTCGCGGGGGCAGCAGTCTCAGCAGGGAAACCCAGACTTCCCTCTCCCCAGCCATGTCATCCAGCTCCTCTGGGGGAATCCCGAAGCGTTCCCAGGCCAGCTGAGAGACATAGTCCCTCCAGCGTGTCCTGGGTCTTCCCCGGGGTCTCCTCCCAGTGGGACATGCCCGGAACACCTCACCAGGGAGGCGTCCAGGAGGCATCCTAATCAGATGCCCAAACCACCTCATCTGGCTCCTCTCGATGTGGAGGAGCAGCGGCTTTACTCTCTCCCGAATGACCGAGCTCCTCACCATATCTCTAAGGGAGAGCCCAGCCACCCTGCGGAGGAAACTCATTTCGGCCGCTTGCACTCGCGATCTCGTTCTTTCGGTCACTACCCACAGCTCGTGACCATAGGTGAGGGTAGGAACGTAGATCGACTGGTAAATCGAGAGCTTTGCCTTTTGGCTCAGCTCCTTTTTCACCATGACAGACTGATGCAGCGCCCGCATCAATGCGGACGCCGCACCGATCCGCCTGTTGATCTCCCGCTCCATCATCCCCCCACTCGTGAACAAGACCCCGAGGTACTTAAACTACTCCACTTGGGGGAGGACCACATCCCCGACCCGGAGAGAGCATTCCACCTATTTCTGGCTGAGGACCATGGTCTCGCATTTGGAGGTACTGATTCTCATCCCAGCCGCTTCACACTCGGCTGCGAACTGTTCCAGTGAGAGTTGAAGGTCACGGTCCAATGAGGCCAACAGAACCACATCATCTGCAAAAAGCAAAGACCTGATCCTGAGGTCACCAAACCGGACACCCTCAACGCCCTGGCTACGCCTAGAAATTCTGTCCATAAAAACTATGAAAAGAATCGGTGACAAAGGGCAGCCCTGACGGAGTCCAACCCTCACCGGAAACAAGTCCGACTTATTGCCGCCCATACGGACCAAGCTCTGGCACCGGTCATACAGGGACCGAACAGCCCTTAAAAGGAAGCCCGGCAGCCCGGGTTCAGATCGGGGGGGCCGTTCCTGCCAATCACGCCACTCCAGGTCTCACTGTCATTGCCCACATAGGCATTGAAGTCCCCCAGTAGAACAAGAGAGTCCCCAGGAGGAGTGCTCTCCAACACCCCTTCCAAGGACTCCAAAAAGGGTGGGTAATCTGGACTGCCGCTTGGTGCATAAGCACAAACAACAGTCAGGACCCGTCCCCGCACCTGAAGGCGAAGGGAGGCTACCCTCTCGTCCACCGCGGTAAACCCCAATGTACAGGCGCCCAGCCAGGGGGCAATAAGTATGCCCACCCCCGCTCGGCGCCTCTCCCCGTGAGCAACTCTAGAGTGGAAGAGGGTCCAACCCTCTTCGAGGAGCCCAGAGCCCAAGTTGTGCATCGAGGTGAGCCCGACTATGTCTAGCCGGAACTTCACAACCTCGCGCACAAGCTCAGGCTCCTTCCCCATTAGAGAGGTGACATTCCATGTCCCTAGAGCTAGCTTCTGCAGCCGAGGATCAGACCGCCAAGGTCCCCGCCTTCGGCCACTGCCCAGCTCACAATGCACCCGACCCCTATGGCCCCTCCTATGGGTGGTGAGCCCATTGGAGGGGGGACCCACGTGCCTTGTTCGGGCTGTGCCCGACCAGGCCCCATGAGTACAGGCCTGGCCACCAGGCGCTCGCCATCGAGCCCCACCCCCAGGCCTGGCTCCAGGGGGGGCCCCCAGTGACCCGTGTCCAGGTGAGGGTAGCCGTGATTCCACTATTTTTTTCATCATAAGGGGTCTTGTGAGCCGCACTTCGTCTGGTTCCTCACCCAGGACCTGTTTGCCTTGGGTGACCCTACCAGGGGCATAAAGCCCCGGGCAACTTAGCTCCTGGGATCATTGGAACACGCAAACCCCTCGACCGGCTCCAGGAGAGGTGGATATAACGTATCAAACTTATTATGAGCTAGTCTAGAACATAATTCAATACTTGGGGACTAACCCTAAGAAAATGAATCTTTTTATTGATTGATCTATGAAATCCCTGCAATTTCATTTGTTTGTTCACAGACATATGATACTATATTGTCGAAAACCAGGGGGGTGTTCCTCAAAGTGGGATTTCTTGCTTAGCTGGATAACTTGTTGGATTTAAGGTAGTCTGAGCTACATGTAAGTGGACAAAGGTAAAGGCAATTTAACCCAGTCTACCTTAAATCCAACAAGTTATCCAGCTAAGCAAGAAATCCTGCTTTGAGAGAGTTAAGGGACCCTGTGGCCCTAAATCATGGAGTTTTGGGGTAAAGCTGCACAAACTGACAGTGCCCCTGAAACAGGAGCCTACATATGCAGTACAGACACAATGAGTCAGCTGTAAATTATGAACCAATAATTTACCTTTCAACTTCCTGTATTGCCATCTGTCCTTTTTGTTGTTGTTGTTGTTGTTCTGTTTGATTCCATCTTTTGAGACTTTTTTTATCCCCGCTGTCTTATCACGAATTATGAAGGGTGGGCCAACAGACTGTAGTTTTCCTGAGTCAGATTGATTTCTTTTCGTTTTGGCTTTGAGTTCTCGGCACATATGCTCAGCAACCTGGTTTAGTTGTGTTTTAGTGAGTTTGTCATCTAGAAGTATGTGATGCATATGCAGCAGGCTATGAGGAGAATGCACTGAAATATAGCGATTTAGTTTAAAATTGAAATATGACGACTACCAAGAAATACAGAAGTGACGTTTTTCTGCCGAGAAACTATATGTATTATTTCCTTTGCCGATCGGTATATTGGCTTTTGCAGTTCTCATAAAATCAAACCTTTCACAATCAAATTTTCACTAAGACAAAAACACCCAATTTGGCTATAGAGAAGGTAAACTTTCCGGACCTCTTCAAGACGATCTAGTTGTACTTATGAAAAATAATCACCCTTAAAGACTGTAACATATTAGTCATTATGGCTCAGTCATTGAGGGTCAACTGTCTTACAATAGCATATTTAGCTACATAGTGTTCATAATTAATGAGCATACCAGCTAAAACATGCCAGTCGAAGGATCTTCTGCTAAAACTGTTTTTTTCGGTGAACAGGCGATCGGGCACAGATGGGGCCACTTATAACATCTCACTTTCAAAATTGTGTTACCAAGGAAAGGGCCACAGAGCGTAACCTGTAAGATGGCGTCAGACCGCATGGCTTTTTGGCCTAGCAGTAGCGTTTGTTTTACAGTACATGCCGTTATACAACATCGGGTTCCTTTCTCGGTTCTGTTGATTCCCCTGGGTGTTCCGAGCGTTTTCTGACTTGGAATCGGCGTCGGCTGAGTAGGGACCCCTTCCCCGTCGTGGCGCTCTGCGGGAGGCCGGGCACGGCGTGGCGTTCCTTCACAGGCTGCTGTTTCGCCTCACCTCAGAAACCGGAGCAGCCCACAGAGGTGGCCGAAGGGCCGGCCGGAGACGAGGAGGCCGTCCTGGAGGACACGAAGGCTGCGAGCGAGGGCGAGGCCCCGGGGCTGCATGTGACTGCAGAGGAGCCTACGGCGCAGATTGTAATTCGCTGACAGAAAAGTGTCTTGTGACCAAAACCCACCCAGCCGCTAGAAAACTCCTTTAATGCTCACAGTCTCATATTTTTGTTCCCCCTCAAGGTCTTCGCCTGAAATCCCTGCTCTTCTGACATCGGTGATGCAACCCACTAACTCACCTGACAATAATTTCACCCATTTCCCCCCCCCCACAGCTTTGGGATGTTTAACTCCTTTTTCATCCTGCTCTTTAACTCATTTTATTTTCATGCGACATTGACATGGGTCCTGGTGATTATTCTGTCACTCCCCACCCCCCGCCAAGTCACCTGATCTGTGAATAAAGCAGAATGCAGTGTGTTTGTCTTGTAAGCTTAATTAACCCCCCCCCTCACATGGGGGTTTACTGTCAGATCTACTTTGATGTTGCCCACAGACCTTGACCTGATGATTTTTCTCTTTTTTTTTTTTTTTTTAGAAGAAAACCCCCAGGCAAGATGAAAAGGTGATAACATTTATACAATCTGTCTAAATTCTCAATTTCTGTTGTAATAGCCAGCAAGTCTTGTGTGTCTGAGTGATGTGAAAGACCATTTTGAAGTTATATATTCCGCCTCAACATGACTGAAATATAGAATTGAAAAAAGAAGAAAGTGATTAACGGCCATTGTTGACACACCACAGCACACAACAATGAAATGTGTCCTCTGCGTTTAACCCCTATGTGACATAGCAGGGGGCAGCTAATTCAGCGCCTGGGGGGCAGTGTTTGGGGGTGGCACCTTACTCAGGGTACCACAGTGGTATGCTGTTGGGTGGAGATCTGAACCAGTAACCTTTCGGTCACACACACTCTTTTGTAACCATTAGGCCACCACTGCCCCGGGGGAACAGCAGGGGTCTAATAGGGTCACGCTCCCGTCATCATGTCAGGGTCGGGACTGAATCTTTCATGCTCTGTATGTGTGTGTAGAGTTTGCAGGTTCTCTCTGTAGTATTAGGGGTTTTATTTCTGCAGTGAACAGACATGCTGTTAGGTTTGCTGGTGTCTCTAAATGGTTCGTAGTGTATGCTTGTGCTATGTGATTGATGGATGGATGGGTGAAAAAGGAAGGAATATTCAACGTGATATGTTTGGGCCATAATCATACCGGTTTCAGCGAGGTATGCTTCCGTGCAGGGGAATCTTAGCAAGCTACTAGAATCTCATGGTGGGTGGGATTAAAATATGCTGTCAATCACTGACCAGATTAAGCCTTCTTATTGGGTTAGACCAGATTATGACTGACACCACGCAATAAATCCCATCCACCGTGTATTTCAAAGTTTACATCTGCCTTCACTACATTTAGACGGGACTAATCGTGCCCCTACTGTCATTTACAGGATGAAGAGGAGGACGAGGCGAAGGTATTCTATTAATGTCTGTTGTCCAGTGGTTTGTCTGATATATAGGACGGCATTAAAAAAAGCAACTCCTCTGGATTTTATTTTCTGGCACGGACTGGACTAGACAGCTGTCTTAAGTGCCACTGTGGAATGTAAGGTTTGTCCTAGATAGGCCCGTCCTTGTGCGTCTCTGCTGGCTGCTGACTCTGAGATAGGATGATATCTAAAAGTCTCACACTGCAAGTATATAACATACCTCAACATTACCCAGACGATACCCATGATGTGTGATAAATAAGCTGTTTATTCTAATATCAGAATATTTAATAGCTATGAGGTATGTAATAATAATATTTAATATTGGTTGTCTACTATGATGTATGAATTCTTTCAGCAGATGTAGCTTAGCAAATCTCTGAATCACTTTTTTCAAATGACTGTTTACAGTACTGAATTACAGCAACCATCAATATTAAGTGCTTATGGTTCTGCACCAGTAAAGCCAGAATGGACTGACCAGGGCTTGAAATTGTATCCTCCATGAAACTCACAGTCTGAAAAACTGCACAGCCAGGGATATAATTAGCTCGCTGTGCTAATGACCTCTGACAGTCAAGAGTGGGATGGATGTGAACTCGTAAGAGATGGTGATGCCACCCTGCAAAGCTTTGCCACACTGAAACTGGCAAAAACCCATAAGGTGGCAAACGAGAAGAAAAATGCAGGACATCTCCGGCTAAAGTCGGAAGTTCAAAAGATACGTGAACATTGCTGACTGAAGACTAGATCCTCGTTAAGTTTGTGTATGATGTAAAATCACTAGTTTATACTACTAATTGCAATTTATGTGCAAAAAGCAGTGCTCACAGAAAATCTTTTGACACTTGCTAAATTCAGTAAAAATATTGCAGATTTATTGGTTTTATAACAAAAGTCATTATTTTATTCATTTGTACACAAAAAATGTATCGCATTAAAAACAACCAGTAGTTTTAAGTAAAACTTTAGTGTCAAGTAGTAATAAATTAAAACCCAAATTATATTCTAAAATAGCAGATCCGAGTTAAAAAGTTAATAGATGAGCAGTCTCATTGGGTGCTTTTTAATTAGTAACATTTTTGCAATAATATGTGTGTTCAGTATCCCTTCGGGAGCCAATGACTACAACCGCAGAACTGAATGAGTCAGGCAAAGAAATGATGGCCCTTGTCTGTGTGGAAGATTTGTGTAGATATGTTAAACATTGCTTGTCATTGTCAATGAAGTTTCTTTATGAAACGAATAAATCTGCAACATTTTCACAGAATGAAACAAACATTCCTAGACATTCTCTGTGCACTGTATGTAGTGTAGATACATTGTTTGAAAGCTGTGCTTGCCAGTATTTAAGCAGTAGACTGAATTACATGAGTTATATGGCAAATTTACCACTCAGTGCCTTTGAGCATCATGTCCTTGATCAGTAAAGTTGACATTCCTTTATAGGATGAAGACGATCAACCAGTGTCAGAGGTATACTGGTTTTGTTGTGTTTTATGAAAGCTGTGACACCCTTTACCACCTTAACAACTATCTCTCCCCCCAGTAGTTTTATTTCTTAGCAAAATGAACACATTTTTGAATTAATCATATTTAGTACAAACATTCCCACTAACATCATATCTTGCTGTGTTGTTGCAGTATGTATCATTTAAAATTCATTTTATTTGTGAAAAGAAACTTAAAAAGGGCAGTGTGGCTTGTTTTTTAGGTTTGGTTTTCTTTTTTGGAATGTTTATGTTTTGCTGAATATGTTGTGTCTTTTAATTTTTAAAATTTGGATAGTTAGAGATATGGGGAAAATGCTTCACACTTCGGAGTGTGAACCAGTTACGCATTTTCAAAAGTCCGATATCTTCCTGAGATCCAGAGGGAAAAAAAAGTTTTTTTGAATTTGAATTGATGTTACCAACTTGTCCATAGATGTGACTGTGTGTGCGAGTGGTGTGTGTATGTGTGCGTGCCCTGTGATGGGTTGGTGCCCTGTGATGGGTTGGTGCCCTGTGATGAGTTGGTGCCCTGCCTTGTGCCCATGGTGTCCAGGATAGACTTCAGACCCCCTTTATCCTGAACAGGACAAGCTGGTACAAGAAATGGATGGTTGGATGGATGGATGGATGGATAGATGGAAGTTTGGGAGTGGTAAAAAGCACACTCCACAATAAGATATCCGAATGAAATGCTAATTGTCCCCTTTAAGGAACAGCAGGACTTAATGGAGTGGCATGTATTGTGTAAGACATACGGTAAAAAACATAATGTCCTCTACGGAGGACAAAAACGAACTGCAGGACCTAAGGAGAGTTTGTTTGTCCCTTTGTTCATATTTTTGGTTATGCATTGACACTGATATTTACCGCATCATCAGTGCCCAGAATGCATTTCATACGTACATGACCTTGAGATAGTCCCCATGGTTACGACTGCGGTTGTCTGCGCCCATCGGCCATTTCCATGCGTGCTAAACACTTTCTTTTCCTCCATTCCATCGTTTGTTTTCTCTTAAGGGAGAAGAGGACCTGTGTGTGTCTGAGGTAACTTGGACTCTAAACCGTAACGCTCTCTCCCTCCTCTCTCCCAGCTGTCTCTTGCGTGGTCAAGTCCTTGGTTCAGATGAACACTGCTCTGTGTTCTTGTGCCAAGGCTTCTCAGCCTGTGCTTCCTCCCGTCTAACCCTGTGTTTTTCCTACTTCATAGTTAGTGCCCATTTCCTCTCCTCTCGAACCCCCACCTGCATTCCGTTGTCTGTTTCTTCCCTAAGTGCATGTCCCGCGTTCTCTCCACGTTCGTATGCTCTGCTGACACGGCCCCCTCTGCCTTCCAGGAAGACTAAGAACTGCAGCAACTTAAGGTAGATCTCTGTATTTTACTGTTGAGCTCAGGCCCATTCCATCCTTTCTTTTTTTCAGTCTTCGTCACACTCTATCATCTCTGCACATAGCTCTACCTCTCCTGCGTCCCTGTCTTCGGTTGTTCTGTCCATTTTTCAATCCTTAGCAGCTCTGCTACTTTGACTGAGACGTGGTAAAAGCCCCCCCCCCCCCTTCCCAGTGGCAGAGATACAGATCTGTATTGCAGACTATCTGACCCTGGCTCCCCCAGCCTTCATACTGAACACATTATCCAGCCTTTCTTTGACAGACCACAGTCTAGAATGTCAGGAACCACAAGATCCAGATGCCACTTTAAGGATACTTGACTGACACCTATTGTATATTGGTCATGGATGATATAACATTGTAACATCATCAAGAAGTTACATTGTAACTTATCATCAAGCATTGTTCCCCACGCTTCCTTGTGCACCTGTACTCTGGCTTTATCGTTTTTCTTCCCTCTCCTCTTTTACTTCCCCCAACCCCCTTCATTTCCAACACAGGAGCCAGAGGATCTGATCAGTGAGGTAGCTTCATGGTGACCTTGTGTCCCTAAAGGCACATGAAACCTACTCACTTGTGCAGCATGGATTGTGACCCATTGCGCTTGACCCATTGGTGGATATACAATGACTTATTTCATTCTCTCCCGTCTTATTCACAGTGACATGCAGAACATACAGTTAAACTCTATCTATCATATGACTGGAGTCTGTGGTTAGTGTTTATTTTCAATTGAGATCATTTATTTATTTCAATGGGTAAAAAATATCCCCTTCTGTAGGAAGAAGAAGAACCCCCAGTGTCAGAGGTATATTTCGTATATAACCATGTTTGTTAGCTAGTGGCATGGTGTGATTTACAGCAGCTAACAAGTTAAATGTATAGATTTGGGGATGCATTCAAACAGTTCTTTTCATTGTCTCTGTATAATTGGTTCTGTATGTTTATTCTAGATTGTTGTGATTGTACAGTAGCCCTTAATGTGGTTATTTCACGACTGGTTTTTAAAACTATTTCCTTGGGCCATAAAACATCAATGGCATGGAGAAGTGACACTGTAAGCGTGAGCACAGGCACGCCTGACGGGTTTGCTGGTGCACAGTTTAATTTGGTGCTGGAATGGAGTCCCAGGTCTCCTAGGGTCCTGGGAATGATCCAAGAACTTTGAAACTCATTTTTTGTTCTTTACTGTTTAACATGGCACTTCCAGAAGTAGCTTCCATACCAAGTAGACACCTGGGGCCCGGTTCAGTTCGCACTGACCTCAAGTTTCCTTGGTATGAATGTGGGCTGGTGGAGTTAAATCTCACCTTTTCACCACAGTCTTATAAATGTCGTCACTGCTATCGATATGTCATTGGTTGAATGAAATTCTGCATTAAGTTCTGTGTTAATTCAGGGGCTAACCCTCCCCTCCCCCCCACTTAACAAGTTTGATCTTCTCTTTTGGTACTTACTGAAGCGCATCGATTTGACCAACAAACTCTCCATCCCTTCATACACTAACCCATCCATTTATTCTACTTTTCTCCTGTTACCACAATCCTTCTCTTTCTCTCTCTACTCCTGGCAAGGAGGAAGAAGATGAAGGGGCAGACGCGGAGGTAGAAATGGCAGGCAGCCTTCGAATAGATTCAAAGCTGGACCTCATTGACTGCTTGGAGGGAAATTTGTGTTAGTTGGTTGTAGCCCAGTTGAATATATCGCACAACCTGCTTCTCTAGAGCAGCTCATGATGTTCTTATGCAGAAAGACTGTCCCTTCCTATAGGCAATATGACACAAAGGCTATTTTTTAACCAATGTTCTTGCTCAATAACAGCCATTATTTGCGATACTCATGTTTGACTTTTTAAAGTATCGAAACATCAACATGTTCACCTGCCTTTATATGTATTCTATCCTGATAAAACTTTTTTTTTAACAACAGGATGAAGCAGACTAATAGCAGGACTAGAATTCATATTCGTCTATGCATTGTAAAGGTAAGAAAACCCATTTTTGAAAATACTACCCTACTGGACCACTAGGTGGCGGCATGGGATTATGCCGGTACAGCTAATGTAATTACTGGAATTTATATGTGAGTGTGGTGGTGTTAAATGAAATTAATCTACACAGAAAAAGATGATAAGCGTGCCTGTATAAACATATGTAAATCTGGTTTGCCAGATATATATTTTTTGAGGGAATCTTGCATGCAAGCAAGACAAGTACATGACGTGTTTAGCACATTATTGCAGTATCACTACAGTCATTTCTGCTTTACACCCCTTGAAGTAAAACCTTAATATATTTTTTTCTTCCTTCGGACCACATGGCACATTACTTGATTACTGTACAAGATATACTGTATACCTACTTCATGATATCCATTTGTTGTGCCATTTCTTCACTCGTATAACATTCTAAGTCATTGTATTGTATTGAAACAATACTTTATGGCTGCGAATAATACATGAAGCACTATTTGTGTGTACACAGTAAGGGAACATTCGGGGCTGTGTAAGCAGTACTCAAACTCATAAAGCTATGTTGCGACGCACCTTGGTTTCGTTACCATGTTCTGACTCACCTTTGTGCACCCTATGCGACGGCAGAGCCTGACATAGACGGCTGAGACGGCTAACAAGATCTGGTGGTAATTAATCTGAGACGGCTAACAAGCTTTCCAATTCATTAGGCCTTAAACCAGTAGGCCTTTGCCCAAGAGTCCTCTGTCTAGTTCCCTTTTCAATCCATGAACGGACGTTTCAATTCTAGATTGTACTAAATTAGTCTCACGCAGGGGTCTCTGGTCTCAGACCTGGCCAACCAGCCGTGCCTGGGTTCTCATTCTACCGAAATGTTCCATTTAACGTAATTAACACCGTGATTTGACTCCCTTAGCATCCTCTCATTTTTGCTGATGCTGTTGGCGGATTGAAAGAGCTGGAAATCCTGTACCCACCGTGGGATGACAGTATCAGGACCACGCTCTGGGGTCATGCCTGCTCTTGTAGTCCTAGTCTTTGCCAGTGGTCCTATTCGCGAAGGAGCTTGGTCAGATTAATGAAGCAGACCAGCAAGCACCGGCGTATTTACCGAAAAGTTTCCTCAAATTTGCTCCTCTGATAGGCGCAGGCGGCAGGAAAATGCCTCCGAGACTAAATTTGCAGTTTTAATCACATCTCATAAATATCTCTTTCCTCCCGTGGCGGTCGAGATAATCTTCAAAGCCGCGTGCATCGCCGGTCTCTCCATCGTTTCCAGCGCCGTATTCGTTACAGGACTCTGTGCCTGTCTGGTGGAGTCAAGGAGCAAAACAACCGTGTCAAACTGCGGGTGGAAAACGCGGTCGGCAGCGCGTGCTGGGGGCTGGGGGGCCTGGTGTGCGGCGCTCAAAGCTTTGCGTGTGACCTTGGTTTTATGATGTTTTTCTCTTCCAGTTAGGAGAGGCCACCCCTGCCAGGAATGACCTTTCAGCCATCAACCCCCCCCATGCCATGTCACCACCTTGTCACCTTTCCTTTGCTCAGAAGGAAAATCCCGTCACGCCACTGTCAGACCTTGAAGACCACATTGTGCACATGACCGTACTGCACACCAGCTCCTCAGCGAGAGCCATTTCCATACCATACCATTATAATTATTATCATCTCAGAAAATACAGAATGAATGTTCGAACTGATCTTATAACTTCAGCTCTGATGTTGCTTGTCTCTTAAAATTTCTATCCAGCAGCCTTTTAAACAAGTATCCAAACTGCAGCATATTTTCTTTAATTTCACATAATTTCAGATTGATTGCCGATTTATGTACTATTAGACATATACAGGTATAAAATGTAGGTGGATTTTATTTAGTTGTGAAAAAATAACATCTTTGAGAAATTGTTTTGCTTGCAGTGTAAGCGAATGCAGTTTTGTTGCAGTCAAACTAAGAGTCTGGAACAGGAGTATCTGTAGCCATAATGTACAGTGTACATCATACCTTCACTGTTTATTTGCTGCTTAACAATAGTAATAGCAAAAGGTTAACGCAGACTCACCACCTTGAAGTTACTGCCTAGGCTGCCGTACGAACGTTTCTCGTGAATGTTATACAGAAGCATTGTAATGAAATCTAGAAATAGATCTCTCTGTAGATAACTTTGAAAAAATTTGTACTGCAGTTTTGCACACTGTAGTACAGTGAGTTTGCTTGATGGGATGCATTACTGCTGCTTAGATCATGCCTGGATTCATCAGGTTCCCCACCCACGGCTCGCAGGAAAAGCCCCATCTTTGTTAGTTCTGCTTGAATGCACTCGCATTAACGCAGAGAGAAGGAAAAGCAGGGAAGAGTTTTAAAATATTTGGCTGACTACCTTATAAATGCCATAGTCCACTGAGAATGTGTTTTCATCCAAATGCACAAACTGTTGAAACTGTTGTATGCACTTTGTCAAATAAAAAAAAGTGATTTTACGTACCCCTAGGTGTAAAGAAAATTTCAATAAAATTTTGTTAGTGATTGTTCTCTTTGGCTTATGTCTTTTAAAAAAACAAAACAAAAAAACATGCATTTTTGATGTACAAAAACTGAGAAGTAGATTTTTTAAAGTAAGAGGACAGATGTAGCATGTGTGAATAATATGTCTCTGCTTTAGTCTGACGTAGCCATTGTGCTTTCGGGTGTAATCCTGTGCTGTTTGACCCAGATTATGTTTCGTCTAATGATTTTCAAAATATAACAGTCGGGTCAAAAAAGGCAGTCCTGAAAAAATGTATTTTTAGTATAAGGCCCACATTGACTGACAAAGTAAGTACGATACAGAGACGCCCAAGGGCTTTCCTTACAAGGACGATACTGTGTCCTGATACATGTGAGAAAGCTGGGGGTCCAGTCAAACAGGAACATTGTGTTGATGAGTCACTTATCGCTATTAAGCATTAACATGAGAGAAAAGACTCTGGATTGTGGCAAGGCGTCTGTGAGCTGTCAGAAAACTATATGAAACTTAAACAAGGTCCCGCTTGGATTGGTATCACAGATCATCTTTTGATTGGTTTTTCCTCAAAGATCTGGAGTTATGTGAGTGAAACATCTAAAAGCTCTATACTTTTGTGTAGAATGTAAGCATAATGTATGCAAGGAGATCAAATCGAAGGCTGTCTTATTTGTGTCTCACTGTCAGTGACAAGATGCCTTTGTATTTCCGTTCATATAAAACATAGTTCAGCTTAATTACTCTTTTTAATATATAATATATAAGTCTCATTGGGTGATTTTCTGAAAAACACAAAGTCAGCGTAGGTCACCCTTTCTCTCACGGAAGAGTGTTTTATGTTCTTGCAAGAAAAATAAAGCAAGGTGTTTTACTTTGAGCTACTTTACGAGTACCATCCATTTTTCTCTCACAGTTAATCTTATCCTGATGGAAGCTCTCTTTTTGCTGCCAAGTGTCTGGGTGGAGTTTCAAAGTGAGAACTATATATGAACCCCTAAATTTTGTGGAACTTCACATTCTGGAGGTTTCTTTACAAGTGAGAACATCAATACAGATGACCAGAAAGCCTACGCATTTTCTGTCTGGTCGGCAAAACACTCAAACTTTAAGGTCTCCGTGAAACACAGTCTTACATGAGTTATTTGTTTTCAATAACAGCACCTTCAACGAAGCCGATAGGTATTTGTTTCTGCCGAAAAGCCTCAGGTTTCTTTAGGTCAGGGCAAGTGTGAAGGCCCTTATTCAATTTGCAACAAAATAGCTTTTTCCCAAAGCAAAGAAGGAAGACCTACCTAAAAAGCATGTCACTGTTGAGTATCGCATATGGACAAAGAAGGAAGCAAGTGAATTTATTGTATATAGTATCTATTTATGTTGAGTTGGGAATAGAGCAGTGGAGCTACAGACAAGTAATATTGAGTAGTTCTAGAGGATTCTTAGGTCAATCGGGGTATTGTGAGATTTAATGATTAATTACCACCAGATCTTGGACTCTGTGTTATTTACTTCTGTCGGTAGAAAGGGATTGGGCCAGATTTTTTGCAATCCCCACTGGCTGAAACTCTGCCTTTAAACTTGTACTCTTCCCGGCCTAGAACTGTCCTTAAGCGACCAAGAACGGTACCCAAATCCTCAGAAAACGTATGCTTGTACTTGTGTAACTCCCTTCACATGGGTGGGTATGTAGCTTTCTGGAATGGCTGCCTAGCTGAGTTGCTCATATCTGTACCTGTTTTTTTTTCCAGCTTTGAGCGATGCTTTGACATCATGCGTGCGATTCTCATCTTGATCCTTTTCCTGGACCAGAGCTTAGGTGAGGGGATTGGGTGTGCTGGAGAGTAATTTCCATCACTCTGAACTTAATTGTTACAATTGTTGTAATTGCTGTAACAAGTAAATTGTTAAGAAGTAACCATTATATTTTACATATTATAATTATTGTCAATCCTTGTCTGTCTCCTCCCAAACCAGCCACGCCTGTTACTCGCTTACCCCTCTTGTCTTGCCTCTCATTCCAAACCCTCGTGTGGAAATCACTCCCAGCTGCCTCTCATTCCAAACCCTCGTGTGGAAATCACTCCCAGCTGCCTCTCATTCCAAACCCTCGTGTGGAAATCATTCCCAGCTGCCTCTCATTCCAAACCCTCGTGTGGAAATCACTCCCAGCTGCCTCTCATTCCAAACCCTCGTGTGGAAATCACTCCCAGCTGCCTCTCGCTAGCCACTTGTTAGTCTTTTGCATTTATGTCCCTGTTTGTGTCATCGTTCCCAGTCCGGTCATTAATATCTATTCTCTTGTTGCCTGTGCCCTTCACTATGCTAAACCTTACTGTTTTGACCCCTGTTTTGTTTCCCTGCTTTAGTATTATTCAATAAAGCCCCTATTTGTTTTCCTGATACCTGCCCTCAAGTTCTTTGGCTTCCAGACATGACAATAATATGCTTTACAGTCATCACTCTGCATAAACTCTAATACTCTAAACAGCAAAGAGCTAATTGTACTGTATGGAAATGCTTGCACGCGAAGCATATTGAATAGACATTTGAAGCATTATATTGGTGAGAGTGAATCTTGAGATCAGAGCACAAGGTAAGCACTTTGAGGGGTTAAGGGCCTGACAGATATATGACTACTCTGCCGAGGAATGGATTTGATCTTCTGATCACAGGCACAGAGGCCTAACCCGCTGTAGGTGCAGAATCGCATGGCACACTCAAACATGATACGGCACACAATGATAATCTTCTTCTTTGGAAAGTCAATTAGTGTGCCAGAGGTGAAAATAAACTGTGTAATAGTTTATATAGGGAAGTGAATAATGCAGAACAAGTGAGTATTTTTTTATCGCCCCTTCCTTGTCAAAAGACCCACACTTTACTTTGCATTTGACTAATCTAAGTAGCTCTCTCCAGGATACAATTAAACAAAGAGCATGCCATTTCCTCCTCGCCTTACGTACCCTGTCACCCACACAGCGCCTGGGTGCCTAGAGCAGGCTGGGTAATTAGACAGATCTCGTTTATCTAAACTACAAATCCCCAGTGTCCTAGTTTCCATTTTGGACCCTAATCTGTTACTTGTCAACATCGGGGCAGCAGAGAGTTTCTGGGCTGGAGAGACATATCTTACTAAGCACTAAGTCTTTTTAAATCTATATGATTAAATTGATCTGGTTCGGTGTTCCTTACGACCCCACGGTTGTGGTTAATTTTTGGCTCTGGTTCCGTCTTTGTAATGTTTTTTGAGGTTTGCCTCCTTCTCACAAACGTTCCAGTGCAAATGATCTTAGGTTTTTAATCATGACCATTTCTCCGGTTTTCAACTTCTGCCAGCGACAGACTGCATATACGACAGTGGTCCCTTAAGATCATAACGGAGGTGAAAAATTCTTATCACCTACTGATGTATATAAAATGATGTATCTATGTAAAGCACTCTGAATGACCTATGTGTTTGAAGATATAATATAAAATTATATATATAAATAAACTTGCATTGCCTTGACTTGCCTTTAAACAAACCTACTGCGCTACCAGTCACGTAAAAGTATAATAAATTCAATTATGTACAGTACACAATAATTGATAATGATAATAAACAACTATTTTACTGGTTTATGTATTTACTATACTGTGTTACGGCGTGGTATGATGGAAGGGACAATCCACAGTGTGGCATGGGGACAACAAGGAGTTCTATTTGGAACGGACAAACTAACGAGAACAGAAGGGACCCCGAGGGGTCAAAACAAAAGCAGGAGATAAAACTAGAACTAAACAAGCTATAACTAAAGACACGAGAAAAAAACTTACTTACAAAAGTGGGTTCCGGAAAGACACGCAAGGGATACACAGACCCAAACGCAATGCAGCACATATAATGACTAATTGAGGAACAAAACAGGGGCAGGTATGTATGTACACATAAGACAAGGCTAGGCAACAAACAAGAGACAGATGCAGGCCATTGACAATGAATCAATTGTTAGAAGTGACAAGAGACAGGTGAAGGTTACAATCACTAAGGACTCAAACACTAGGAGGAACAAAGAGCTGGGATACAGTAAATACTACAAAATGAGGAACAAGTAGGGAAAACTAACAAATGCATGAAAACAAGAAACAACAGAACCATGAACACAAGAACTAGCAAAGGGAGAACAAGGCTCCAAATGGCTAATAAGGCGGAGTCTGGCCACTACCTTCGACAGTCGGGGAGCACAGTTGTCAGACACATGCTCAGCCCATTCAGCCATGTGGTGGCCCAGGGAACAGGGGAACACACTAGAGAAAGAAACCAGCACCAAACTAAGAAAAACGGGATCTTGAGCGACACCTGCTGGCCAAATGGGGAGAAGGCCAGAACAGGACAAGACAAGGACCAATCCTGATAATACTGTACTTGATATTGTTATTTTAGAGTGTACTCTTTCTTCTCATAAAAAGTGGTACTTGTAAGCTGTCATCTATAATGCATTACAGATACCTTCATAAGGCATATAACGGTTGGTGTCATAATTAATAAAGCATTACAGCATCTTCTACTGACAGTCATAAGGAATTATAATGTTGATTATAATACTTCATAAGCTCCATTGAACGTCTGATTTATAATGCACTTTAGGTGCCTCCATAATGCATTACAACGGTCGGCATAAGAATTAAGGATGCTTTGTACTGCATTATGAAGGTATCTATAGTGCATTATAGATGAGAGTTTCATAAAGCATTCATAATGATAATAGACATGGCTATAATGTCTTATGCCTTGTTATAAAATTGCCTAACGACACATTTCTCAGAGTGTAGCCCTGTTGTTAAGGGATGTATGACTGCAACATCACTGCTACTACTGCAATAAATGTACTTTGCGGTGGACTTGAATCAGGCTCATAATTTTCAAGTTATTTATTTGTCTTATTCTTAAATCACTGTGTTTTGACTCATATCACCAATACCTGGTATGTCCCATAATCCTGACACAGTGTTTGTCATAACCTTTTCCAAGCAAAAAAATGTATATTGATTTTCAGTATGTGTAACAGATATCCTGCATGGATATTTTCTGTTTAGTGGTTGGTATCTTTGCTCTCTTAGTGCTAAAACACCTTTCTTCTGTTACCAGAAGCACTGGGCTCGATGCAGCTGGAGCCCAAACTTTCCACTGTGGTCAATGGTTCCCGAGCTAGCTTCAACTGTAGCACCACTGCATTCTGGGACGTCATGTCATGGCTGCTGAACGGCAGTGTGTCGCTGACCATTTCGGCACAGCACGGCGTCCTCGGCAGCAGTGACAGATTCCACGCGGTGAACCACTCAACGCCGTCTCTCACTGCTTGGGAGTTTGTCATTGAGAGTGCGGAGCAGAATGACACTGGGTCTGTCACCTGTGACCTCCAAAAGATGCAAAGGGAAACTGTGACACTACTGGTCCAAGGTCAGTTACCTTCTTTGACAACGCTGTCCGTGGCTGCTGCTCTGTTTGCTTGAACTGTAAACACTGCATTTATTTTAATCTGCTGGTGCAGCAGGAAATTAAATTGTTTCGCCCTCCAACAGGAGATCAAGTACCCAGACGATATAAACAAATGTAAATGTAAACACACTTTTGTCAGGAGACTGCCCACCTTAATCAGAAGAGTATAGGCAATTATAGGCCCTATATATCATCAGCCACCATATTTTTTGTCCATGCCCTCATAAAAATGATTTTTCTAAATCTGTTTAGCCCCCTCACTGGGATAATTTTTATTTTTTTTGTTAGGGCCCCGGTGGGTGCTGTCCCATATTTCTTCATATTGAAACTGGCAACCCAACTGGTGGCTGAGCCCCCCCCCCCCTCACCTCCCCAAGAGTGAAATCCTAGAATCACCCCTGAAGAAAATTATAATGCTTCAGAACAAAAACTGCTGAAAGGAAATACGACGACAAAGCAGTTCCAGTTTGAATCAAATCAATGAGATTTGCAATTTTATTGTAGCTAGTGTTTGGATTGCTGTAATATATATTAGTATTCATGAATATTGAAAGCGTTTTAGAAGGATTGAGCATTATGGGTAGTTGATGTAATATGTTTTAGCTTTGTGTGATGTGATGTGATGTATGAGAAACGAGCATATAGGCTCCTGCTGTCTGAGATTGTGCAACATAAAGAAACTCTTAGTAATAATTATTAAAACACAAGCCTGAGTTCCAGTAAAAGATTTCTGATAAAAAGCAGCAACACCAGTAAACAAATTCAGGATGTTCAAAACACACCAAGTGGTTGTGTGCTACTTCTCCTACTTCTGTTTGATTGTTTGTGTGTATATATGTAAAACAGCGGATTAAAATGCATGAAAAAGGCCCTGATGCTTAAATATGATGTGCAAAGCTTCACGGAGACCTTGCTGGAGTGTATAGTTTAATTTCTGCATACTGCTGGCATTCGACAGAGTCGGAGCAAGAGGTTGGAAATTGATTGTGCGGATATAAATAAGGGTCTTGAACTTTTAATGGTTCACACAGAACATGCTGCTTATGCTCTTCGGTGATTTAGCCAGCCCGGTCTTAACAAATGTGGGTAACTTGACTGCAAATTGCTATTTGAGCAGAACTCTTTCCATAGCATTACAGGCCCTCCTGACACTTATCTCACTGTCCTTGAACTGAAGCCCATCGAATCTGTTCTTATTTACTTCACTTCCTCTAGGAACAGAACAGTTCGCAATGGGTTCAATTCGTCATACAGATGACAATGACGTGAGACAGAAGGTTAAACGCATGTAGATACTCAGCTGATGTTTTTATCTAAAATATTACTGGTCTACAATTGAATTGTATTACCTTTTTATACAAATCATTATGGAACTATTTGATTGTGGTGCATTTTCTGCCATGGCTAATTTTAAGTACAGCATGGTAGTATTTTCCAGGAGTGTGAATTAAATGCTGAAATACCTTTGATATTTATTCATCCATTCATCCTTCCTTCCACCATCTATAAGTGCTTATCCCAGTACCAGGTCATAGTGAGCTTTGGTCCAATCCCTGGAAGCACAGAATACAGGACAATGGACATGCTGAATGGGATTCTAGTTATGTCGATTAATCTCATATTATAAATTCGACAAAGTACAATTAATGAACAAATATAGTAGCAAACTTGACATAAAACATGCATCATAATTCATTAATGATGAACAAACATAAGATCAGTATTATATTTATGTTATTCATTACTTGGTACTGCAGTGGTTTCTTCAGTAGTTCACAAAGGTTTGCAGAATTAACAGACATAGTAACAAATATAGTAACTGCTTGAAATAAAAGATGCGTTACACTTCATTAATGACGAACGAACATGAGATCAGTATGTAACTTAGACTTAGTTTGTGTTTTATTAATACAGAGTAAGAAAGTCAGAGCGTAATACTTCATTACTTGTGCCCCCTCAAGTGAAATGTTACCAGAAGCAGTAACAATTTGAGCAGGGGATTCTATAAATTATGCAGTGAAATAAATTAAAGTACACTGAGTCTGTGGTATTTGCAACTCTATTTATAATATTTCCCGAGATGTGACATGTTGATCAGTTTGCAGAATGGGAGGGGAGATGGACAAAACAGATCTGGAGAATAAAGTGTTTCACATTCTGTTTGTCTGATTGCCTTGAACCGCTCACCGGATGGTAATGGTGTAAACAGATGATGGTCTGGCTGTGTAGTGTCCATGGCGATGACTCTAGCCTCCTTCATCAGTCGGCTGGAGTAGACACTGTCCAAGTTTGGGTGGTCGGCCTCAGTGATTCGTTGGTCAGCCTTCACCACCTGCTTATTCCAATCTGCAGCCGTGTTGCTCGCATACCACACAGCTGAGCCAAGCCCAGAATAATTCTAAGGTACTGCAGTAGGTAGCTTAACTATCCATTCCACTTTATTATAAGGAAGAACATTTTCGGGCAAATGAATGTTCTCCCAGTGTAGGGCAGCTCTCTTCCAGATTCTCTGGTTTCTTGCTACAGTCTAAAGCAGCGGTAGGGAACCTGATCCATGGAGGGCCGGTGTGGGTTTTTGGCATGACCTTTCAATCACCCAATAATAAAGCAGTGGATCTCAACTCCAGTCCTGGAGCCCTCTTATTATTGGTTGATTGCGAGGTCATCCCAAAAACCTGCACCCACAGCGGCCCTCCATGGGTCAGGTTCACCACCCCCGGTCTAAAGGCTTGTAGTTATGTCTAACAGTTCTATCTATCTTTCTCGTAGTGTGAGTGCCCTGTGATAGACTGGCTTTCTGCCCAGGCTGTTCCCTCACCTCCTGTCATGTGCTGCTTGTTGTAGCTTTCAGAACCCTAGTGACCTTGTCCAGGATAAATGGTTGGAATATGAGTTGAGTTTATTTTTTATTTAATTTTTGTAAAGGGTTTTGTGCATGCCATCGATGAAGTATAACGCTTCGATTTCTCTGATAAGATTATATTGGAGATTCGAGTGCAAGGCACCCTTCCAGGTGACCGATAGCAACCTCTCATTCTTCAGGAAGCTGGCCGTCCTCTTATCTTTAAGAAATGCTGCCTGTTCCTTTGTTTCGCAGGGCGTATGTAGATGCTGTTCTTTGGAGAAGACAAATTGCAATTTATCTATTCATGATGCAGCAATGGTCTTAGATGGGGTGTGGGGGGGGGGCATTGGATAGGAATCTCCACATTCAGCATCTTTTATGTGTTTGTTACCACAATGGCGTCGACGCCGTCAAACCCCCACTTGCGGTTACAGTGCTTGCGAGATGCTACGAGAGATCAGGCTTGAACAAGTCTCAAGAATTGCCGCCGAGCCGAATCAATTTCTGTTTGTGTTTATAGATGAAAGATTTGCACAGCGATAATTTTCAAATATGCAGTAACTGAATGAAAGACACAAAAAACTGGTTTTCCTGCTAATACTTTGTGGGCGGGAGGGGGGGGGGAGGGGTGACCCTTGACTTACTATAAGCTTCCTAACTATTTCCCTGTTGTAGGCTTCACAAACATTTTTTTTGAAGACCCCCCAAAAGACACTGGTCTCACAACCCCCTATCTATTCTTGCTGCTGCTAAAAATTGTCGAGGGGGCGTGGGTGGTTAGGGGACAATATTGATGGAAAAAAGCATACTCTGAAAATCACCCGGCAACCCTATCCCATCCTCCACCCCCCAGCTATCATTCGGCTAATTCACCTCCCCCCACAAAGTGGCAGTTCAGCTGATAAGCCCATGCAAAAATCTCGGGGGGGCGGGGTGGTAAAAACGATGCCCCATTGCCTCCAATATATTACATAGCAAAGCGCTTTACTGATGACACTACAAATTCCCACTGACATATAACCCATTAACAACAGTGTATGGCAGATAAAATACTTCGGTGCAGATGGAGAGGAATTCTCTGTGCTGACAGACTTATTTAATTAATTGTGCATCTCACCATTCCCACCCCGCAGTCAGCAACTATGCCAGTGATTTGTATGCTATTGACTCCAGCATACTGGTGGACAGCAGCTGCAAATCCACACTGTACACTTTCTATTTTTTTACTCCCAGTGTTAATTCTCCAGTTAGAATTTTCATATAGAAAACAAAATACATGCACAGATGTATATGTATATGCAACTAAATCCAGTGGTCAATAAAGATGTGAGTGCAAAAGAAAACGCGCGCACGGCTTGACATCCTAGATCAGGGGTCACCAACATGGTGCCTGCGGGCACCAGGATGCCCCCAAAGATCACATGAGTCACCCGCGGACCTGTTCTAAAAATAGCACAACTCACCAGTGAGCAGTGTCTAAAATGTAATTTAATCCTGTTGCTATTTTTCTTTAATCACATTTGGATTTATATAGATTTGAAAATGACAATATCTAAAAAAAGCATTAAAAAACATGTTTATTATACATGAAGTTTAGATAAGTTTAGGACCCAAACTTAAACTGGTAGCCCTTCGTATGGCTCAGTACCCGTGAAGTAGCTCTGAGTTTCAAAAAGGTTGGTGACCCCTGTCCTAGATTAAACTAAATCATCAAGAGAGTCGCATTGAGGACCATTGACAGCGTGCTGATAATCATGCTAAGATAAACTACAAGAAGATCCAGTTTATTTGGAGTTTCAGCAGTAAAATGAAACCTGATAATCAGTGGATTGTAACAGCAGTTTGTCAGTTAAACAAATAATAACTGGTTTATAACTGGTTTATAACTGGTTTATAACTGGTTTATAACTGGTTTGTATGGTACAGTGGCCTGGCTGTACATGAGCATAAAATTGTAATTAAACCTATAAGGTTGTTTTGGAAATCATGCCAAATAAAATTTAATTTTGGCATTATTTACATAAATCCTTTTTTGCTCTTTTGTAAAAGGAGATGCTGCATCTTAGGATCATTCACCAAAGGCAGTAAAATTGCATCCCTGGATTCAAAAAACCGCTGCAACTCAGTTGCAGGTTGGATGGATAGATGGAGCATATTGCGAGGTTTTGTGGAATAGGAACATTCAGATCCATTATGAGAAAACAACAAGGAAAATTGATAAAATAAACACTATGTGAAGAACGGTTATGATAATTATTAACATAATTTAATAGAAAACAAATCACAAACACATGCACAAACATGACCTACATAATCACACAGATACAGTTTAGTCTCTCTCAGTCTTGTCAGAAGTAATCGACACTAATCAAAACAGGTCAACCATAAAATAAAAAGAGGAATTGTGACATATGCCGCGTTCTATCTGACAAGTTCACTTCTGCTCCCCCCCAGTGATTGGGAGCGTGGAAGTCCAGGGGGGAGATGTTACGAAGAGGCGGGGGGAGAAGTTCTACTTTGAGTGCCGAGTCTTTGGCTGGGACCCCGAGCCCACGGTGCGATGGAAAGTGAACGGCACCGAGGTGGAGGAGGCCGGTTACAACACCAGCACTGTGGTCTCCGGCGGGCTGCTCGACTCCACCAGTTTCCTAGGCTTCCAGGCAGAAGAGAGTGTCACTGTGGAACGTCTGGCCTCTGTGTCCGCTCTTCAGTCACCCCGAAACAGCAGCGTCTTTCTGATTGTCGGTAGGCCAGTCTCCTTATCAGGCCTTTTTACACAGGTTACAGATGACTTGCACTAAGTTATTGTTGGGATTATTGTTCTTCTAATCCAGTATTTACTGTTCAGTATTTATTTTAGAAAATGTTCTTTGTTCTAACTGCTCAATACTCTGCAGAAGCACAATTTAATTTTATGCATGTGAATGGCAACAAAGCAGGCCTCTTCAAATCTGGACCTCGATTCCAAATCCAGGCCTTGTTTTCAGTTCTCCCAGGTAGTTAGTTTAATAATTACTGATTCTGTTTGGCCTCACACTTGGCTCACGGGTAAAAGACGACTGGAAAATCAGCAGGGCTCGGCCCTTGAGGACCGTGATTTGAATAGCCTGCAGTAAAGTGACTTGATTTGACTTGAGTTATGCTCTATAACAACATCAAGGGAGTAGATTGGGGTATGGACAGGTCTATTGTGGGAGTGCTGTGTGTGTTTAGGGGGGTGGGGGGCTGATTTGGGCCATACCAACATAGAAGCCAACCCTACACCCTTGAATAACATTCTCCAAATCTCTTCAGCCAGTGAGCCCGACGTGACTCTGGTAATTGCATTCATCCTGTTTGGGGTCGTGTTTGTCTCACTGATGGGGTTTGCTGCTGTTGTCTTCATCTTCACAAGGCAAAGAGAATCAAGTAAGTAGCTCAGCTGGCTTTTCCACATGTAGACAGCCAAACAGCCCACACACAAGTACACACACACAGTAAAAAGCACAAACAAGAGCCCTGAAATTTTCAGAACACTCACACCTCCATTTCTGGATGGAGGGAGTGGGATGAGAAAGAATGAATATTACTACAGAACCAAAAAGTACTAAAGAGGAAAAGCTCTGCTGGCTTTGTCTTTCAATGTAACTGAAGAATACACAGGGCAACTTAATTAAGCCACAGACAATACAAATTTAAGGAAGCACTTCTTTACACAGCGTGTAGTTAGTCTTCCTGCTAGTGTAGCGGAAGCTAAAACCCTGGGTTCCTTTAAATCAGAGCTAGATAAGATTTTAACAACTCTGAGCTATTAGTTAAGTTCTCCACAAACGAGCTTGATGGGCCGAATGGCTTCCTCTCGTTTGTAAATTTCTTATGTTCTTATGTTCTTACACAGGTAGGAGGTTCCCTGTCTTTTTATATAACACCCTTATCAGCATAGTTGTCCCAGAGTAAAAATGGCATCATAGATGTACATAAGAAAAGTGAATGTTTTACATAAGAAAAATAAGAGAAGAAAAGAGGAAAGAAGGAAAAAAGCTAAAGATAACAGAGGACAGAAAACATCTTTGGTGGGTAGTTATAATAAGAGGAAAAATAAGCCTGGCTTTAGACGCCCAATTACCCCCCCCCCCCTGTTCATACTAACATTACACAAGTCGGGAATAGCTTTATTAAACTGAAAGAGGCACGTCCTGAGGTCTGGCCAGTTTCAAGATTGCAAATTAATTTTACACATACTCCTAAAGATCACGATAGCTGGTATTAGTGTGCTGTGTTCAAAAATGCTGAAACTCGGCCTTTACTCGGCTAACGTTCACGCACACAAAGTCTAATAGTCACATGGGCGCTCAGGTTTATGCTAAGCAAGGAAGCATAACGTATTTATAATGTCGTGATTTTGTATAATAAACTGCCAAAATATTTATGAGCGAAATCCAATTACTCTTAGTGAGAAATGGTAGCACCTGTACTCAGAGATTAAACAGTAAAGAAGGTCCATGGATTCTTCAAGGAGCATTGAGATCCACAGTAGTCCTCCTTTGAGGTTTAAGGATTTATTTCGTTAAGTATCCATTGAGTTGGAGGTGACCTGGCTCTCTGGACGTTTCCAGGGATTCCCCTGAGTTCCTGGGAACCTTTCTGAAGGGACTGTTTCCTTCAGTCATTAAAAGAGCCTGCCTTTTTGCGATAACATAGGGGGCCCTAAATCACCTATTAAATTCTTGTAATCCCCCTGCCAGATTTCAAAACCAGAAGAATTTGAGGGTATGATTCCTGATCCTTGCACTTTCATTAATAACATGCTTGATTCAATCTTTTTCCCCAGTTCTTTAGCAAAAATGCAATCTATTTGACCTTAGTCACTGCAGCACATTTTCGTTCAATGACGTCGCATGTGTGTAGTTATTATTAAGTGTGATAGGGACCGGAATTGTTTTCCTAGAAGCTACCATGTATTTTCACTAACTATCCAATGCGGGGCTGTGGATGTGACCCTGGGGTCGGTCCCAAGAGGCACAGGGTTTGAGGCATTGGATGCCCTGCATGGGATGTCATTCCGTCGCCGGTCACACACAGATGATTAACCATTTGTATGCTTTGGTTCGACTTTGCTCCAGACCCTTCCTGTTTCCGCCGCTGATCCAAAAACTTGTGTATGAGTAAATGAGTGTCTCTAAATTACGTAAAGCCTTACATTAACTGCACCTTCATAATGCCTTCATGATGCATTCATTGTACATTCAGTGCACCTTCATAATGCATTCATAGAACATTCATAAGCAGCATATAAGTATATTAACATACTAACATAGCATAATAGCTTTAATATACATTAATGACAAATATCATATAAGAACAAACAGTATAATTGTATAACCAAATAATGTTTGATATTCATGTAAATTAAAGCTGCTAACATATTGTAAGATATAAGGTATACTTACATGCTCCTTATGAACGTTATATGAGGACATAATGAATGCATTATGAAAATGCAGCTAATGTAAAGCGTTACACTTAATTGTCCATAGTGTGCCATTGTGTGCCCTAGAATGGACCAGCATCCCATCCAGGCTATATCCTATACTTCCTGCATTAAGCTCCAGGCTTTCTGTCACCCTAGATGTGTAGCTATGGAAACAGATAAATAGACCATAGGACATGTAACTGTGTCAGAGCTATTTGTTTGCATTTCGTAAAGATCCCTTGTCTGATTGGCTTTGCATTGTTAGTTATCCAATATACTTACTCATAAATGTAGCTCATTTCAGTGAAATATCATTTTATGACATTATCATACTGGATGATGTTAGTAGCCTCAGTGATATTGTTCTGGAGCTCTTCTTTAAATCCTGTATTCGGGCTTGTCCTGTGTCGAAACACAAGGGCGCACAAGGGCGCACAAGGGCGCATGCCCTCTCGTCCGGGGAAAAAAATCAACAAAAATCCTTATTCCCAGTTTTAGCACCATATGTGCCAAGTTTGCCTAATTACTCCCACTCTACCCTGAACCACAGGGGAAAAAAGCGATGATGCACCATGATGAGATTCATTAGAGCTTAATGCAGGGATTTTTTTCTCCTCTGCACTGTCTGGGAAGTGACTGCACTTCAGGAACCATGTTGTCCCAAACCTGCAATTGCTAAGCATATATTGCTGCTGCAGATCAGAATTCTCAAGGGCTCATTGTCATACGTGGAAAGAAAAATGGACTTGACTACATTATCCATGGAGCTACTTGAGAAGTTTTCAGTGGGTGTAAACTGGTTCAACTTAAGAATAAAGAAAATTATGGATTCAAAGACAAATGACTTAATTTTCCTGTTTATTAAAGCTATATTTCACTCTCTTTCAGAAGCCAGCTGTCGGCAGGAAATGAGGTAAGCACTGAAGCAGGCAGACTTGACGGCACTTTGGCCCCCTGCTTTTGTAGCTTAATCCTGGGACTTCTTTGGGCTGCTTTCTTGCCATTCAGACCTTGCTGCCAATTAATTGGTTGAAGCTGCACCGCACAGAAGCATTACTAGGAATAAAAAATACAGAAAATTGGCTTCCTTTCCCGCTGTAGGTAACCATCTGTGAAACGAACTGCACAAACTGTAGAGAGAGAGAGAGAGAGAGAGAGAGAGAGACTGCTGGTGGCCCCATCTGGCTGATTCAAATCTCTACTTCTCCGGAACACAACAAAACATGTCAATGCACCTTTAAGTAAACACACCTTCATGTTACTGTTGTTTCTCAGTAATTTTCAGGAAACAAACTAGTATTACAAACTGAACCCTGTTCCTTAATTGGGTACTATACGGTTAAACTGTGATTCCAGAACAGTCATGGAAATCAAATGGGTTTGTTCATTCTGACACGTAAGTGTGGCATGAAATCATAGTTTCATAATGTAATATGAAGTAAGATAACGTTACTGCTTAGAAAGTTATCAATTGTTGAGAGAAATTGATCTCTCTGCCTCTACCTGATATATAGAAGGAGGTTCATGCAGTTTGAGCATAGTTTGCGCCATCCTTTTCAATTGACGAGAAAGATAATTTGGTTGCTTTAATTAAATTATTAGTTTTTTTTGTTCAGTATTTTATTCAGTATAGATGCACGTGTGTGAGATGCCTGTACTGCTTATTTTCCTTGCCTGGTCTATTATTCCTGTCTATTATTTTGTCACAATGCTGGTGTGGGAATATTTGCAGTATATTATACCTGAATGGTCATACTTCTTGGCATATGTGACCTTTTATGATATATACAGTACATGTGAACCCAGTAGAGCTTTTTTAATGTATTATTAGGACAGACCCGCTGAGATTTACGGTGTTTTTTCATCTCAGTTATATAGAGAAGCAGGTCTGCAGTTTACAGGTCTTCTCTTCACATTTGACGAGCCATTCCCTGCGTCACAGAAACAGGGAAATTATGGTCCTATGGTGATTAAACTGACTTACACCCTTGTACAAATTAATTTAAACAAGTTGTTGCATCTATATGCAGATGGACTGACCGTAGTTAATTCATACTTATTCAGTCTCCCAGCTCTAACCCCACCTGAGTAGGCCTGCCAGTCTGTGGGCACAGTGCCTCCTCAGTCTATCCACTCAGCTCTAACCCCACCCGAGCAGGCCTGCCAGTCTGTGGGCACAGTGCCTCCTCTGTCCATCCACTCAGCTCTAACCCCACCCGAGCAGGCCTGCCAGTCTGTGGGCACAGTGCCTCCTCTGTCCATCCACTCAGCTCTAACCCCACCAAGCAGGCCTGCCAATCAGTGGGCACAGTGCCTCCTCTGTCCATCCACTCAGCGTACTCTCGACCCTGTTGGCTGTGCAAACCAGGAGGTCCCAGGCCACTGCATGCATGTCTGTGTGACAACTTGTATCAGTTAATTTGCACAAGGGTGTATTATTTGATCTGGTGTTTGTTGATTTTGCACTGCAGAAAGCGTACACTCTAAGATTTATTAATGGAGAGCCTCTAGAGTCTTTTGCCATTTTTGTGAATTAATTAGGTTAAAATAATGAGTGTACTTGTGCATATTTCATTCTGGAAACCAAAACGGGGACCTGTGCAATCAGTCATCCTCTGATGGGGGAACATAGAGAACACGTAAAGGCAGTCATTACAGTTCCGAAGTAAACATCTATATTTCACAGAGGCCATATTTTTGTTCTTAATCAGAGTAAGCATTAGTTTCTCAGATATTTTATGCATCATTCAGACATTTTAAGTATCATTTTACAAACGAAAGGTGACTGATAAATCAAAGGTAAACAAGTATGATGTAAAGCATGGGTTTGTTTTTAAAATTTCTGAAGTGCTTTCTTGGTAGAGAATGTGCTATTACACGCTACTGTAGCCTTATAGAGATAATTTATTTATAATTTTTATCCCTCTTTTAAACTTTTTAAATAAGTAGTTTAAGCCATAGATTTTTCTTTGGACTGAAATACAGGATAGAGCCAAAATCAGTAGCTACTTGTTAGTTCTTATTAAAAGTGTGTTGTCAAAATCACAGTTATGGGCGACCTGTTACTCGTCACTGAGAAATCTGGTGAGAAGCACGTCTTAATTTTTAGCAGACTGGACTTTTTATTTTCCAAAAAAGCAACAAATGTATTTATATTAATTTATTTTTGTCAAAAGCAGAAGCATTTCTTTTTCTAAATGCCTTATTATAATAATTCTTTTAAAATAATTTTATAATATCTGAAACAGCATGAGTAATAGCATTTTGTTCTAAAGTAAACAACCTTGAATCTGGTCATTAATGGCATAAATATTATTAAAATGCACATGATAGCAGGGCTGATTTCTATCTAATTTGTATGTGCTATCCACTCTAAAACATTACTTTCGTAATCGTTTTTATTCAAGTGTCAATAGATCTCATCAGTGGAAAACTTTTGTGGGCAGTTAAAAAGCAATTTAGCCAAGAAATACATGCTTCTCATTAAGGCGCCAACAATTTCAATTAATGTAAATTAAAACCCACATTTGAGCAGACATCATCTAAACTTAAGCCGGGGTTACTTCGTTTATGCCAGTCTGAAATAAAACACTGACAAACTAATTAAATTATTTATACACTTAATTGTATTAAATGAAATTTATACATTGTCTTATTTCAATATTGGTATGGAAGGGCAGACTAAAAGGAGGCTGTTTTAATGTCTTCAGCAGAAATCGGCGGCAGAGTGAGGGGAACACCAGAGCTGAGGTCTTGGTGGGAGAACTTAATTTAGGATTCTCCTTTAATGGTCAAACAGGTAAGAGAAGAACGGCACACCTACGTGACTGTTAATTAGTACCCTTTCATCACATGATCAGATCCTATGAACTGTCTTTTCACCATCGTTTTAGAAATTAAAGCTGCGTTTTTGGTGGCACAGTGGTTAATACAGTGGCCTCACACCTCCTTCGCTATGGAAGTTCCACATTTTCTATGTATTTGTTTCCCAATGTGCTCTGGTTTCCTGTTATACTTCAAAATGTCTCTAAATTGCCCATGCATGAGCAATGCGGGTGTCATGTGATTGAATGGTATCCCATTCACGTGCACTGGTCTTATACATCCATTATCTATACCACTTTATCCATCTGGGTCACAGGGAAGCTGGAGCCAATCCCAGCATCATCGGGCGAGAGGCGGGATACACCCTGGGCAAGTTGCCAGTCCACCACAGGGCCAACACAGACAAACAGCCACACAGACGGGCAATTTAGAGTAGCCAGTTGACCTAACCTGCATGTCTTTGGACTGTGGGAGGAAACCGGAGCACCCGGAGAAAACCCAAACACGCACGGGGAGAACATGCAAACTCCACACAGAAAGGCACCCTGGGTGACCCAGGGATCGAACCCAAGACCTTCTAGCTGTGAGGTGACAGTGCGAACCACTGCACCACAGTGCTGCTGGTCTTAGACACCCTTCTGCAAATTAATTGAAATAAATTGTCGCACAGACATGCATGCAGTGGTCTGGGACCTGCTGGTTTGCACAGCCAACAGGGCAGAGAGTGCGCTGAGTGGATGGACAGTGAAGGCACTGTGCTCACAGATTGGCAGGCCTGCTCAGGTGGGGTTAGAGCTGAGTGGATGGACAGAGGAGGCACTGTGCTCACAGATTGGCAGGCCTGCTCGGGTAGGGTTAGAGCTGAGTGGATGGACAGAGGAGGCACTGTGCTCACAGATTGGCAGGCCTGCTCGGGTAGGGATAGAGCTGAGTGGATGGACAGAGGAGGCACTGTGCCTATAGACTGGCAGGCCTGCTCTGGTGGGGTAAGAGCTGGGAGGTATGACTGTGCTTCAGCCATCCATATGTGTTTCAGGTAAATGCTCTGGGGTTTGGGCACCTCCCTGTGTGGTCATGGGGTTTCCTACTGGTTCTCTGGTTTCTCCCCAAAGTCCAAAAACATGCTAAGGTTTGTTGCCAAATTCCCCATAGGCATGAATGCTGTGTGTGCCCTGCGATGGATTGGCGCCCCATCCTAGGTTATTCTGATACAACTTTTATCAATCTACTAGGTCCGAAATCCGGATCCATGGAGATAAGTATAAATTAGTGTGACTGTGATGTCAGATTTCACATTTTTGCTACCGGGAGCTGGAACATGCACCGTCTGGGGTCCCTAAGGAATGGGTTGGAAAACACTGTTATATATGGATGGATGAAACCAGTCTTTTAGCATATATGGTCATCAAAGCTCCATAAACACCTCTTTTGCACTTTTGTTGAAGAAAGTGCAAGATTGCTGAGAAGCCTGTTTTTCCCATGGCAGATATCAACAACAGCGGATTCAGCCGGACAAGCACTGCTAATCCTTCTGAGGTAACAAAAGCCTGCACCTTATGATATGAAAGTGTTCCTGGGTGTATTACACACAGCCTCATCCTACCAAGAGCCTAAGAAACTAAGCCCTACTCATGACGTGTGCTAGTCCTACTGCCTTTGAAGGTGAAGACATGTTTTGTTACAATTCTTTTGGAGCCTCGTAGGACTTGATGTTTCAGCAGGGAAAAAGATGCCGAAAATTCAGACGCTCCTTTACGAACTTTCAGACATACGAACGAAGAGGACTGCAATTCCAAATTGTGTTAGTTCGGCTCCCATTTCCTGTCCGCGACATCAATGTTTTTTCTGCGCGCTAATTCCACCTAGTACGACATCTGCCCGCTACTCCCGCCGCACAGCAGCGTAGCGTTCGTACTCCCAGCATTCTAGTTCTTTGTACTTGCGTATACCCTTAAAATGATGTTAAATAACGACTTCGGAACATAACTCATTCGTAAGTAGAGGAGCGTCTTTATAGGCAAAAACACATGCAAAAAACTAGTCTGCTATTTTATTTTTTTGGTCAAAGCACTGAATTTCAATTTCAGGTAGATTTACCACATAATCCGTGTCAGACAAAACACTTTGAGCTACTTCAGGTTTTACAAGCTACTTTAAAACCGAAAGGCTCCTGTGTTTGGCTAAATAGTTCAGTACTCTGACTGGTTTGTTTCCTTGATTGAACGATTCGTCCAGCTGTTTCACATTAACATTAGTGACACATGCATGATTATAGGAGACAGACCAATCAGTGCACAGCAAGAGCTAGGTGCTTAAGTTAAATCCAGGTCCATTTAATGGAAATAGTAATGTACAAATCCTGTTCCAGCTCGGTGTCCTTCTGGTCATGGATTAGGTAGTCACTCTAGTTCTAGGTCACTGATTGAATTTCTGATCTCTTCCTGATCTTGTACTAAGCCTCGCAAATGCAATACAGACTAGAAGTATATGTAAAGTAAGCACTGGTTTTTAAGTCTCAGCTGCAGGTACATTGTATAAAACACTTCTAATAATAGCAGTTTCATAATGAAAGCTGGCACTAGTGCTGCAGCACTGTGAAGAGTTTCCCCACTTAATAATGCTTTCTGAGAGGGAGACCAAGAAAATCCAACATCATCTTATGACTGAAGGAGACTGAAAGCACAGCATGTACAAAATCTGTCTGGCCGCTTCTTCGTAAACCCTGTGGACCGAGAAACAAGAAATACTAATTGTTCGCCTGGTGGATTTGCAGACATTGCCCCCCCGCCTCTACCAGATGGCCTACGACAACACCGACCCCAACAGCACGGACTCTGGACAAATCCAGAACACCGAAAGAGTCCGGTACCTCACAGTAGTGTGATCTAGCAGCAGCCCTGGTTCCACAGAGGACAACTCACTTGGAACATAAGGTGCTTTTCCTGCAAGGACTGTTGCAAATGGTATGTGGTTCCCAAAGACTTTCCTTCAGATCACAAGATTGACTATATGAAGAAGAATACAAGGTCCAGTTCCGACACTGTATCAGTTCTTAACTGTTCAAACATTTTTCGGGTTGCAAGTTAAGGCTGTGCCTTGTTGCAAGCCATTTCACATCAATAATTTTGTTATGGTGACTGCTGAGATAATAGGAGCAAGTTTTTAAAACATTAAGGGACTCCCATCTGTTGTTCTCAGGAAGGCTTAAGAGGATTTGAGATGACTTATTAGAGTTATTAGATTGAGAAAAGTATTTTACAGAAAAAGCACTGTCTGGCTGCCATGTGGTGGGTTGAGGAGGGACCCCCAAGTCCAGGCAGCTGAAAACTCTACCCTTGCCAGCCATTGGCTTGTTTCAGCCCAAGGGATTTCAAATGAGCTTCTGAATGCTCTAGAGGGCATCTCCGGTCATGCAAGTTATCTGTACAACTGTATTATTTTTCTTGCCAGGAATGCAACACAATCATCTATATAGGATTTTTTTTTGTCTCCTTAAGTCACAACAAAAATATCCACCAATATTTGTTTATAAGTAGAGAAGCTTTTTTTTTTTAACCCCGTGACCTTGTCTAGGAAAGTGGTTAGAAGATGGATGAATAATGGCTGCTTTGTTTATCCACATGAAGCCACAAAAATCATTACACTGTTTAATTTAAGTCCGTCAAACTTCGGCCACTTTTTAATGAAGCTTTTTGTTCTTAATTCTGACTTTTCGTTCAAAGGAAATGCCACAGCTGTTTCAAACGGGTCCTTTTTTGTGTCCCTTACCGAATAGAAGATGCCTCATCTCTGGCAGACAGTTAACTAAAGGTAATAAAGATATAGATCGAGAAACAAAATCACCTTCAACTTCAGTTACTTTCATGGCATTGTGTAATTCAATGATGGTGGTAATCCCCTGGTTAGTCATTAACCGGATTGGCTCAGCGGCTTCTTGCTCAGGTCACATGGTCTCAGAGCCACCATGAAGCCTTTCCCTTGGCTGGTGTTTACTAAGACCCAAACCATGGTGATGACTTACAGTAAAGTCTTAGGCAGTCAGTTAAAGAAAATGGGGTTTAAATGATGTACATGGTGGTGGAAAACTATATTATGTCTGTCAAAGTGTGTCAGCTTAACCATTTCAAAACCTCTCCTAAAATCACCACCGTATTTGCAGTGATCGTCCAATACACCATGTATTTTTTTGGCTTGACCATAGACATATCTTGTATGGCTAATCAATACTTCCTTGACTTTTATAATTAACTAAATTAATTAAGTGAACTGGTGATTAAATTGACCAAATGACTTGGGTGCCCCCTAGGATAGGTTTGGGAACTGAAGCGGGGTTCATCCATCCATCCAGCTAGGTATCAGTAACTTTTTGGAGAACAGAAGAAATTCCTGTTAGTTTTATTGTGTCATTTCTAATTTGCATATGTTCATGTTTTTTATTCTGAGCAAATATACACTTAATACCTGCCTAACACTGCACAGTACAACATATCTGTTAAGCTCCCGGTACAGCAAGAGCTGTATGGCCATAGAATGACTTTAATTAATATTTTTGAAAAAATAATCCTGTCATAATCATACAAGAGACTATGATTCTGCATTTATCAAGGAAGTTTATTAGTATATGTGAAGATTATATGGTTATGCTTGTTTAAGGAAATTCCTCTAGTCTGATACCTTTCTAAAAGCATTTTTCCCCACAAGGTTTAGCTACAAAATAACTGCAAACCGAATACAAATTGGAAAACCAAAGGTACTAAAACAAAACAAAGAGAGGTCAACGGGGCCTGAATGTTTCCGTCTCATTCTGCAGTTTTTCAGCGTGTCCTTACTGACTGTCAGGAATACAGAATTACTCAGCTTTTTGAAGTTTCAAGGTCAGTGGCTGTCAGGTTGAGAACCAAAAGAAATGGGAGTTACTAGTATAGAGAAGCGAAAATGCTATTTAAATATTATTAGTATTTGAATTCATTCACTTATTCTATTGACAAAACTCTGACTGGTACTGTACATAAACAATTACTGGCAAAAATGAATTCATTGTTTTATTTACATTGAATCTGACAACGCTACCATATATGATTGATAGCCGCTATTAATTTAATTCTGTAGTGTAATATTCCACCTTGAATAGTAGGAGTAAATGAAAATGCACAGCAATCGAATCCAAGGCATATATATAGCCTGATGCCACCACAATATTCGTCACCCACTTATTTCAAAAATAGATGATAAGTAGGCTTCCTATTATTTATATGTAGCATGCTACATACTGTAGGCGTAAGAGTCAAGACATCATTGACGTGCCATGCAACTCATAATGCGACGTAATTTGCCCCAACTCAAAACGAATGCCGCACAATTACATTAAAATACACTGTTGACTAAGTAAACTAATGCTATCTACAAACAGAAGAGAACATACAGTTCCCTGTCCCTAACCCCCTCTCTAACCAAACACAGAAGAGACATAATACAAGACAAAAGTGGTTCCATTCCCTACCATGTGATTCCAAAACTATAAAATACAAACAAAAAGTGACTCAGCAGGTCATACAAATAAAGTCCAGAGACATCAATTCTGTACAAGATGTGAAAACCAACCAAGTTTTCAAATATGTAGATTTTGACATTTATGAAAGACCATTATTTGAGATTCTATGTTTAGACATACAGCAATGGCATTACTAAAATTTAATAGGGGAATATTCAGTCCCTTTTCTGAATTTCACTGGTACTGTGTTAATAAATATAGATACAAATGAAATTCATAATGAACTCCAGTCGATTACCTGTACTGATATCAGGTTTGTTAAAAGCTCACTTGGGCTTAGGTCGGCTTAACTGTTCCTAGGTAATTAGAAGCGCATTTTAGTGAAATGCATGTAAATGGAGACCAGGATGTCTTGCAAAAGGATTAATGTTATTTTCTTTGAATGAATGCTACTTAAATATGTTTATCTGAAAATATGGTGATGCTTATTGCATGTTTCTCATAGATGTGTATGTTGAAAATCAATGCTGAAGATGAGTGTTTTTTTTTTGGTTGAAATTGAAAATTGAGAAAACTGAGAAATTCTGAGCTGATGAGCCTGTAGACGGTATTCCTGAATTGTGGGAACATTTTATGGTCTCGTTGCATTTTTCTCTGATTAACATGAGCTCTCTGATGGAAGGGCAGGCTACTCTTGTTTTCATGAGCTGTTTGTCTCTTTTGCTAATGACCATACAGTCATATGGCCGAGTTACACAGCTAACACTTTTTAGCCACTGACAAAGCAGAACATGGTGTAGATCAGCGTTGGCCTTTGGCCGTTGACTTTGCCCTTGTGCTGCTAATGGAATTTGGCCCTTGGGGAAAATAGTTGGGGATTCCTAATGTATATCTTGAATGAGATCCAAATCCATACTTCTACCCATTTAAAATAATCACTATAGACTAAAATATACCATTCACTCACACGCCATTCACTCACAATCCATTCATTCACATGCCCTTCATTCACACGCCATTCACCTACACTCATTCACTCACATTCCATTCACCTACACTCATTCACTCGCACATTCACTCACATACCATTCACTCACACACCATTCACTCACATGCCCTTCACTCACACGCCATTCACCTACACTCATTCACTCACACCATTCACTCACACACCATTCACTCACATGCCCTTCACTCACACGCCATTCACCTACACTCATTCACTCACACCATTCACTCACACAGCGTTCACTCACTGCCTAGGGCAGCCCAATCTTTCTGCTCTCATTTTTAAAAATACTTTTTAAATGACGTTTTTAATACTTTATCACTTACAGCACACGTGAATTACACAAACGGAACATACCCGGCAGTAAACAGAGTGTACCATTTTACAAAGTAACCCATTAGCACTGGAATAACCGCAATTTTTTGGAATATGGTCTGGCCATGTGACATGCAGCTTTACCTGCTGCATGCAAACCAAGAACTTGCAGACCTTAAAACACATAACCAAGCTAGCTGGGTAGGAAGTTTGTGTTCCTACGTCACTTTTTATGCCTTTTCAATCCGATTAAAGAGAATAGCTATGTCACAGTCTGGTGCAGGAACTAAACAGATTAGTTCATCGATAAGTGGATCCTCTGCGCCTATTCACTCAATAGCACTAATGTAGAAGGGAATAGTGATTATCAACAGAACTTGGTTCAGTTATTTCTTGACTCTAGTCTGAGAAGAAGAAAAAAAAGTAACACTTTCTATGAATATCATGTCTATGAAACACTCATGAAGCATTATAAACATGGCTATAAATCTGTATAAAAAGCATAAGGCATTATAGTGTTGATTGTAACACTCCATATGTTTCAGTGAAGCTCTCATCTATAATGCATTGCAGCTGCCTTCATAATCCATTACAAAGCATCCATAATATGCATCATAATGGTCAGTATAAATATTAAGGATGCTTTGTAGGGCATTACAAAGGTATCTATAATGCATTATAGCCATGTTTATAATGGCTACTTTATATTCATTCAGATTTATGAATGAATTATAGTATGTTATGAATGTGTTCATAGATTCTTATAGACATGCAGTTCATAGAAAGTGTTACCGGAGTTGATTATTTTAAAGCATAAACTGGGTAGGGTCACTCTAAAGCATTACATAACAGCACCGATGCATGACTCCTCTGGGCTGGGGTCTCGAGTCCTGCCTCTGTGAGCGTGGAGTTTGCATGTTCTGTCCATATTGCATATGTTATTTCCTGACGTCCATGGGCATGCAGTCTGGCTAACTGGTGTCTTTAAATTGCCCAGTTTATGATTGTGTGAGTATGCCTTGCAAATGGGATGGAAGTCTATCCAGGGTGTAACCAGACCTTGTGTCCTATGGTGCCTCACCTCCAGGTGACTCGAATCGGGCTGAGCAGTTTTAGGATGGATGGAGTGTCGTTTGGCTTCTATCACATGAACAAACAGTGCTGTTGGCCATTGTGGTTTTGAGTTTAGACAGCGTCTTTCAAAGACTGGTCGTGCTTGGAAGTAGCACAGATGGACGTGAAATTTAAAACAGACCAACCAAGCTTTTAAAGTCCACAAATCACCTATCAGAATGCTGGTATTTGATACATACTGAAAAAAAACGGCTGTGATATGTAAATTGCGGCCACAATATCCTAAATGACAACGTGCAAGATTGTGCTTTTCCTCTCTGATGAGCTGCATATTCAGCTGAAGGTCAGAATAATTTAGATGGCAAATCTGAAGATTATTATCTTTTTACGGTCACCCTGAAAGGCAAATAATTTATACAATTCATATTCGGTTTAAGCTGAAAGGGAAATTGTAAGGCGGTGGACCTATGAAAGCCTGGTGGATTCCCCCCTCCACACTTCCCGGACGCTGATGGAATGCCAAATTCCTCATTCAGATTAAAGTAACGGTTCGCATGGGTACTCCACTAATGGCTCCATCGTCAGTGATAGGCGGTATTCCTCGGAAAGTGATCGATATGAATACGAGGAGGTCCTGTTGGGATATGTCCCAGTATAGCCTCAAGATGCCAGGTAGGCCTCGGAATTCCTCAGCGACAGAAAACACAGAAAGAAAAATGAAACGCAGGTTTCTTCATACATTTCCAGCTTATGTTGTTGAATGATAAGGTTAACCATTGGCAGGGAGCAGTGCTGGGGGCATCAATTATAAATGTACCCTACATCTGTTGTCAATAATTGATGTTACTCCTCAAACCATCTCTTGATGGAGGTGCATTTCTTTGCAGAAGTGTCCTCCTCGTATTTGTTTATAATCAGCACCAATATATACCCCACCCCCATAGAATTAAGGC